TCCTTTAGGGTCGATCTTTTCATCTTTAAATTTCCCACAGTTACCACAGCTCCTGGTAAAGGCTCAGTAAATGTTGATTTAATTAAATTAAATGACTAAGGAAGAAATGATGAGTATAGTCCCGAAGAACAAGGTGTACCAGAGCGAAACCAGCTCTAGAAGTAAAAGTAACCCTGCTTCCTGTCAATCTCAATTGGCAACCAATGAATTTACCACCTCCATCCACTCCACATTTATTTCTTTGATATGAAGATACAAAGCTGCCAGCACCCACCTCAGTAGGTGGTGTCCCTGACTGCATGTTGTTAGGTTGTAGGGGAAGAACTGCTCAAGGTACATGACACACAACAATCTTAAACAAGTATCTTTGGATGCTTGCCTACACTTTGGCATTTTTAAATAAGTATCAGCCTATCAAGGCAGGGCCTTCCCAAAACATATTTGAGCTTTTCCTGGTGGTTGAATCTCTCCAGGAAGAAAGTACAGGGACTAATAGTGATTCAATCATATTTGTAGAATTTTTTCTTTAACTATTCCTAGTCTTTTTAACTAGGAATTCTTACAGTTCAATCTCCCCCTTGCCTGCCCAGCTCTAGCGTCAGTATCTCAGACATCCCTCACCACCCTTTTTAGAAAAGCACTCATCACAATGCACTGTGATTACTGTTTACATATCTAGTGTCCCCATTAGACCTCAGACTCCTTAAGGAAGGACTTTTTTTTACCCATTTTTGGTCCTCAGCCTGGAGTAGCATCTAACCCACAGGAATCAAATGACTGCAACCAAATGAGCAGCTCTCAGAGACGGCTGGGCTTGAGCCCAGGGAATACCAGGAAGGCCATTGAGGCCCTCTGAACCTCCCCCTTCCACCAAATGAGAAAATTAATGATATCTGCCCCCCAGGATTATCTGAAAAGGATGTTGTCAAATGTAAAATGAAGAAAGTTCTATATCTTTCAACTTTTCATTAATTCTAAGATGCCCATTTTCTCATATTTTAACATCTCTGAAACTGAGATCCATTCTTGCAGTGGACTGAATGTTTATGTCTCCCCAAATTCATATGTTGAAATGTAATCCCCAAGGTGATGTGTTAGGAAGTGGGGCTTTTGGAGGTAATTAGGTCATAAGAGCAGAGCCTTCATGAATGAAATTAGTACTCTTATAAATAAAAGAGATGCTGCGCAGCTCCCTAGCCCCTTCTGCCATGTGAAGTTACAGCAAGAAGGCACTACCTATGAACTAGGAAGCAGGCCCTTCCGGACACCAAATTGTCCAGCACCTTGATCTTAGACTTTCCAGCCTCCAAAACTGTGAGAAATAAATTTCTGTTGCTTATAAGTCACACAGCCAAGATATTTATCATAAAGAGCCTATGAAATTTTAATGCAAATCCAGTTAATTATATAATTAGTTCTAAGTAGAAAAAATTGTAGACTTCTTGAAATTGCACAGAATAGGTTTGAATATCTCTAGTTTGGGCAAGTTATTTAATGTTACCAAGTTTATGGTATTTGGCAGCTCAAATGAACAAAGACAATTCTGCAATTCCTGTGCAGGTCTGTACCATACTTTAACTGACAGTGTTTTTTCCTTAGGTCTTACATACTGTATCTTAGTATTACATAAAATGATGTTGAATCTTACAGAGGTGTTTGATATTTAACAAAATGTGATGTTACCGGCATCAATGCAGTATTCTGCCCCTGACAAATGCCCCAAAACATGCCTAAGAATGAACTGTTCCGTTTGTCAGCTTTAAGAGATTTCCTCTACACCCTCAGAGCATTCTGGGTGCCTTTAATAACTCCCTATCCATCTGACATTTTAAATGTATCCAAACTTTCTGGAAAGTATTTATATTTTCATTTCCCCCATATGTTAGTTATGGTAGCTAGGATAGCACTTAAACTTACTTGTCTTTTCATTATTGTCTCACTACCACCACCAAACTTTGATGGGAAGAACCTTGCAGTGTTTTGGAAAGAATAATTTTAGTTCTAGCCCATTTTGTCACTAATTAGCTACATGTCTAATCTCTGTCATCTGCAGTATGATAGATGGGGGTGCCAATATTTTCCTCACAGTTACTCAATTTCCATGAGGTCATATATGTGGATGTCCTTTAAAATTACTGCATTCTGGAATCTGATGAACAGAAAGACCTCTGTTCCCCTCTGTAAGTTTACCAGTCTTGGACAGCTTCCAAAGACAACACTTCAGAAGAAAGGGTGTCTTTTAAGGTGCATGTGATTACTTCCTATATTCACCCACATGATCACTGGGATGATTTCTGTTCTCCAAACATCTCCAGGACATGGAAAACAAAGTGGCTGATTGTTACATTTGACGGCACCCTGTTTCCAGTAAGGATGTGAACTCCATTGCTTTAAATGTCAGTGTCCCCCCACTCCGACTTTGCCCAGTCCTTCAGGAAGGGCTTCCTTTGCTAAGGCCTGCTAGGGGATCTTTATCTTCATGTTTTCAAGACAGTGCAAGCTTTAACTTGAGATTATGAGTTTCTTTCAACGTTACTTACCAAAGACAAGCTCCCTTTTATGTTTGGCACTAACGTAGTAATCATTTATTTGTTAAAGGTTTTCTTCTTTTTAAATTCATACTTTCCCCTGCTTTGTACATTCTGAGTTTGTCTTTTACTTGGATTTAGGCTTAAATTATGGAGTGGGAGTGGGTTGAACATTAGGACATTAATAGATGTTTAGCACCCACTTTGTGTCAGCACCTCCTTCCTTAAGGAACACCTCACAGCAATCTGAAAAGGTTTGGTATTCTGTGTTTGAGAAGAGGACACTGAGGAGATTCTTCAGAGATCACAGAATTCAGAACAGGACACAAAGCTCCTGAGAACAGGCTCCCAACTTTTTGTTTTTGATTTTTGGGTTTGGTTTTGTCAAGGCATAAGGAAAAGGGGAATGAACCAAAAAGGTATTTGAGCAGATAGTTGGCATTACAGGAGTCTCCCCTTACCCTCAGGGGGTACATTCCAAGACCCCAGGTGGATAACTGAAACCATGGATATTACTGAACTTTACATATACTATCCTTTTTTCCAATATATACATACCTATGATAGAGTTTATCAGCTAGACATGGTGAGAGATTACCAGCAATAACTAATAATAAAACAGAACAATCATCACAATATACTGTAATAAGAATTATGTGAATGTGGTCTCAAAATTATTGTACATATTGTACTGTCCTCACCTTCTTCTTGTGATGATGTGAGATGATAAAATACTTACCTGATGAGATGAAGTGAGGTGAATGGCACAGGCATTGTGACATATCTTCAGGCTACTATTGACCTTCTGATGATACACCAGAAGGAGGACCATCTGTTTCTGGACCACCTGTAACTGAAGTGTCAGAAAGCAAAAATGCAGACAGGGGGATACTACTGTAAAGTTTTAATCTTCTGAAACCATAGGTCATCTTCTTCTATGATCTGTCTCACTTCATTTCAAATGTTTAATTCCTGAAAATGAACTTGTCAGTGGATAGTTTCCCTTTATATTTTTCTGGAACAATTCCAGATTCTTATGGCATTACAGAGTATGTTTCTAGCTCAAGGCATTCCATAAAGCAGATAACCTTCGGGAAGAAGCCTTGAGAAATTACATGAATGAGTTAGTACAAAGCTGCTAATAAAACCTACAACACAGGTAAAAGGCAGAAGGTATAATTTGCTAACAAAGTTATTTAGTACTACCAAGAACTAAAATTATAAAAAATAAAAACTGTATACAGTATTGTTTATACTGCAAAAGTAAGAGAGACTTACCTAAAGGAGAAAACAAAAGCAAAAGAAATTTCCAACCCTGAGATTTATTTGTGTAAATATCACAAAGAAAAAAATGTCTTTTTGTTTTTAGAGTGTGTGTTCTTTGGACAATGAAAAAAGATTGTCTTCTACATTGGCCAAACTTTATGTGTGATTAGAATTTGTAAGATACAGTTTCTGTAATGTATTAAATCTTTTTTCACTTCACATTTTTATTTTTTGTTTATTGTTTGACCACCACTTTTCCAGTAAAGCCTTTTTTTGTTCCTTGTTTGTTTTTACTTTTGTTATTTTTCTCTCTAAAGGGTAAAGAATACTCCTTTATGAGAAGTTTTTGTATGAGAAAGGAAAATTTAGTTGCTGAAATTAATTAGAAATCTTAGATTTGCAGATATGGAAAGCTTTACATTCCTGGTTTCTCTCAAAAACCATAATATTTTAATGATTTAAGAACATAAAGTGAAACCGCCAGGATAATTTTTGATTAACAAAAACTGTGAGGTGCAGAAAATGTAATATATTTGGAGAGAAAGGACTAAGAAAATGTGTGTGAGAAGTCAGGCAAGTTATCTATTAAAGTGGAAGTTATTTCTAAAATATCATTAAACAGGGTTTCTTTTGGGAAATTGCTGTAACAGAAAGCGGGGCACCCTTTATACTTTATTTATCCTTTCCTTCACATTCCACAATTGCCTCATCAGAGAAGCAAAGTGGCATTTTCCTGGGTCGGGAAAATCCCGTTAGGAAATGCAACCGAGCAAAGGATGCTTCTTGGGTCTTATCTTCTTGCTCTCGAGGGGCCTCCGCAGCCCGCCGAGGACTGGTGTCCCAGAAATAATACACAGTATGGATTTTCAGGGCAAAGTCAGTGTGACCGGCGCGCATCCAGTGCCATTCGTCCCCAGGCTTCATAGTGAAAATGCCCACTGGCTGGCGAACAGGTCCCTAGAAGTCAGGAAGCAGAGTTTGGAGCCAGGAAATGAGCTGGGCCGCCGGGATCCCCGAGCACCTGCTGCTCCGGGCTCCCCGGAGAGGCCCCGCGGGCTGGCGGCGTGGGGGGGCTCGCGCGGGGCGGGGCGCCGCGGGGAGGGGCCGGGGCCCCCCGCGCTGAGGGCGGGCGCCTCCCCACCTGGGCAGGGGCAGCCACGGCCCCGCCCGGCGCGCAGCAGGCCCAGGGAGGGGCGGTGCGGGAGGGCGGGGGCGCGCGCGGGGCCGGGCCGGGCCGGGCAGCTCGGGGCTGCGCTCTCGGAGGAGCGCGACTCTTGCCCCGAAGGTTTGTGGCGTCGTCGGCGCCGCGGCAGCGCCGGCCATGAGGACCCTGTGGATGGCGCTGTGCGCGCTGGCGCGGCTGTGGCCCGGGGCCCTGGCCGGCTGCGCCGAGGTGGGGCGCTGCTGCCCCGGCCGGGACCCCGCCTGCTTCGTCCGCGGCTGGAGGCTGGACAGGGTCTACGGGACGTGCTTCTGCGACCAAGCCTGCCGCCTCACGGGGGACTGCTGCTTCGACTACGCCAGGGCATGTCGAGGTGGGTGGTGGGCCGAGGGTGGGGGTCGGCCGTTCGCCAGCAGCCGAAGGGCACAGGACCAGCCGCACCGTGGGAGCCAGGGACCCTCAGCCCCATGCATCCGGCGGGTCCAGATCTTCTGTCCCAGCCCACCCCAGACCCTTCCGTCGTAGTGTCCTCCAACACTCCATCCCGGTGCACCCAGACTCTCCACTTTAGGTTCCTAGCCCCTTCCATCCAGGGGTCTCCCAGTCCTCTCCAACTAGGTGCTTAATTCCAAATCCCCTCCCCGCGCCAGAGCCTGGGTGGAAGGGGCTGGAGCCCTCTGTTCTCCCAGACGAATGCGGGCCACCTTTGCGGGGATGAATTCTATGATTCTGGAACTTCAGCTTGGTAGGGCCACCTCCTGCCTGGAGACATGGCACTAACAGGTCCCAAGGGGCATGGCCCTGGGCCAGGCTCCTGTAAATGCTCAGGGGTCTTAGGGGCCTGGTGAGGGGGTGCTCAGGGGAGGAATGTGCAGTCATCCCACTTGGTGCCGAGGACTTGCTCTGGGACGGCACTTAACTTATGCAGAACAAGTTCTCGGGGCCCACAGTTGTCCTCACCTCTGGACTCCAGCACATAGCCCGGCCCTTTCCTCCTAAGAGGTGTTTCATTTGTTTTGAATTCTATTTCATTGATACTGCCTGATAAAGATTTTAATCTCAGGGTTCCTTTTATGTTTTAATCTTGCTGATTTTCCTTTAGGGTCGATCTTTTCATCTTTAAATTTCCCACAGTTACCACAGCTCCTGGTAAAGGCTCAGTAAATGTTGATTTATTAAATTAAATGACTAAGGAAGAAATGATGAGTATAGTCCCGAAGAACAAGGTGTACCAGAGCGAAACCAGCTCTAGAAGTAAAAGTAACCCTGCTTCCTGTCAATCTCATCACCCCAAAAGCCGCACATATATTGGGGCATAAGGATCCCTGTGCGTGGGATCCTCAGCAGCTTCCCAGGAGAGTAACCCACAGGGCCGTGTCCTTCCCCTGGAACTGGATGCCTGGTGGCGAGGAGCACCCCCTCTGACTTTAGATGCTGGAAGAGGCCACTGGCCCATCACAGGATGGTCACCCAGACCTGCCACTGAAAGAATACAATTGAAAAGCACTAAGATTTTTTGACCCTGGTTAAAAGCTAATGATTTACCTGTGAATATTGATGTTTTTGATAAGCTGCTTTCTCTTTCCTGTGCCCACGCCCTGGTATGTTACTACTGACAGAAGGTGAAGAGTGAGTAAGTTAGGGAGTAAGTTAGGGAGCGCAGTGCCCTCAGGCCAGGCGTCCTCAGTGGCCTCTGTGCAGCGTCCTACCTGAAGTCCTGTTTGCCTCCGATCCCTCAAGCAAAGTTTCTCTGATTGTAGCAGACTTACTTCCTCATGAGGGATTTACCTGCATTTTAAAGGTAAATACAGAATTCCTGTAGTCCAGTAATGTGCCCCATCTGTGGTAAGGACAGGGATACAAAGAAGAGGAAGACACGGTTTCTGCTGCTACAAGTTCATGGAGGAGCAGGGAAACACACGTGGAAAACTACCTGCTCAACGTTTAGTGCCAAAATAAGGAATCCACGAGGCTAGAGAGGAGAAAATCAGAAGATGCAAGGAATTCAAGGAAGACCTCCCAGAGGAAGTAATGTGCAAGCATAGTCCTGGAGAATGAGTGAGAAGTCTCTAGAAGGGGAAGGGGAATTCTAGGAGGTTAGGGTCACGTAGCTCAGCAGTTCTCTGTGGGTGTCAGCCTTTTGTGCCAGAAGCTAGCCTGGGCCCAGAGGCTGACCTGGTGAACAGGACAGTGAGCACAGTTAGATAGGGAGAGAGCCAAGCACAGAGGGGGTAACGGGCAAAAGCGGAGGCCAGCACCACAAGAAGACTGGCCTTCCAGTGAGGCCTGACCCAGCTGTGAGGTGTTGCAGAATCCTCAGTCTTTATCTATTTTTGATCCAGGAGATACAAATATTAAAACAAAGAGGCTATGCTGTCAGAGTGGGGACTTCTTGGGTAAGTCATCGCAGAGAAGAACTCAAAAGAAATCACAGCAACTTGGTGCCTCAGGGAAAAGCTGTGAACAGTAGACCAGGGAACCAGAGCTGGAAAAGGGAACGGAGTCTGATAGATTTTGAAAGGAGCATACCAGGACCTTAAATGCCCTTCCCCAGGGAGTCGCAGAGGACCTTGCAGGCCTAAGTGGAAGCAGACACTGGACTGAAAAGGCTCCTTGCTGGTAAATTTTTTGCACTCGATGTTTCTTGGGAAGGAATGATCTAAAAAGAGACAGTTGGAAGCTGGCCACTTGGTGTGACTGAATCTGCATGCCTCGGAGTGAGGGCGAGCTTGGAGGGCATGACAGATCTAAGCTGCTCAGTCTCCTTAGGCATGGACAAGCAGGCTTTGGAAAAAGTGTGGCTGGCCTGTATGAGCATCTTACAGATGCAGGAGCTGAGGGTGGTCCCATTCCTGATTAACATGAATGAGCAGCAGAGCGAAATGTGAATTCATGCCTGCCTGAATTCAAGGTGCATTCAGCCACATCTGTTGGTGCCAATTCATGGCTAAATTTGTTCCTAGATAAGTCAAGTTTCAGCAGCTCAGAGTCCCACAGTGACTACATATACATAGACCCATTCTGCCTCTCAGAGCCCCTTCTCCTTCTTACTCAATGTTATGTTACTTATTGATGCTGCCTGGAACCTTTGGGGCTGAAATGATATTAAATGTGAGCAAAAAATAGAACTGTGTCAGTAAAACCACACATGCCATATTTCTATGCCTTCTGATATTTTCTTTGTGATAAATGCTTTATTTTTTTTTACTATCACTAAGAGATGAGATACTGGATTTTCTTTTTTTGAATAGAAAGTTTTTGTTTCTTTTTTTTACTCAGAATAAATAAAAATAAGATACTGAATGTATAGAATTACTAAATCACCAAAATTATCTGCTCTTAAACTAGTTATCTCAGAAAATCTCATTATGATGATGGCATGGATTTCAACACGAATTACACATCCCCATAACACCCTCCCCCCCGAAAAAGGATAGAAAAAGTTTCCATTGGCAATGCCTGACCAGGGGTGGGCAGAGGAGAGGGGGAGAGATCCAATCACCCTGCCCTCAAGAACTTCATGGAAGGCTTGCTTATCTGGCTCACAGTGCCCCCCGTTTGGTTCATTAGTGGGGTTCCTAGAAGCTGCTTTCTAAGATCATAGAAACAATGGGTTTCATTAGATCTTTGATGAGCAATGTCAGGAAAGAGTCATCATTAACCCAAGTGGAGCAGAACAAAACTTGAATTGTCTGTGTGAGCCCACCTCCTCTTCTAGATTTATGGGGACTCTAGAACACCAATTGACCAAAAGCTACTGTTGTCATATCTGGAGGGAGAGGGGGCACCATGCTTAAAATATGGGCTCCAAAACTCATCCAGAGGAAGGATGTCACAGTCAATAGGGATTGAGAAAGTTGCAGTGCAAAAGACAGCATGTGGCTTCCACTGCCTTTGTCTCTGCAGAAAAAGAGAGCAGGGCCTAGTGCCAGTATCTGATGTGACTCCACTTTGCAGGGTTTGGCTGCAGCCCTGGGCTGTGCCATCCAGGAGGGTAAAGCTATGGGCGCTGACCCAGCATGCACTCCATGCCAGGCACTTTCATGGGCGCCTCACTGCTCTAGCATTATTTGGCTCTCAAAACCCACCAGGGTTATTCCTCACCTTGATCTCATTTTGCGGACGAGGTAATCAGGGGACCAGAAGGTTAGATAGTGTGTCCAGAGTCACACTGCTAATAGGTGATGGAGCAAGATTTGACCCCAGGAACTCTGGATTCAGAGTTTCTACATGATTTAACATGTTTAAATGTGATTTTGCCCATGGAGAAATGATGTGTTAAAAGAGAAGAGAAGCTGTGTGCTTTGCACAGTAGGTGCCACATAAATATTGGTAGACTGAGTGAGCCCTCTCTCTCCAGGGACCATGTGCCCCTCAAGGGCAAAAAGTGTTATCAGGCTGCTTTTTGCCATAGTGAGAACTATCATGGTGGCCCTCAGTGACGTTTATCAGAACAATGTGAGCAGTCATCTACCCAGGGGATGTCATCTGTGGCTTCAGAGAGCACTGCCATCTGGGGTATAGCCACATGTCCTTAAAAAAATAATGTTTTCCATCCTTGACTGTAAGATATATGCTTGTTGCAGAAAATTTGGGAAATACAGAAATACACAGAAGAAAACAACTCACCTGGAAACTTACTACCCAGAAAAAGCATCATTATCTTATTGATTCGTATCCCCTTTCTTTTCAGGGCTTGTGTGGTATATAAAACTCTATTTTTCTAACAAGGCAATCCATTTCATTGTCTTGCTAGCATTTCATGAACTTGTCCAGTTAGTGACTCAAAAAAAAAAAAAAAAGCCTCTTGGGAGCAAGATAACATGATTTCTGCAAGAGGAAAAAAACACCTGATCATTTTATTGGAGCTTTTTGAGGGGGTAAATAGGCACTGGAACAATGTAATTTCTTTCAGAGAAGGGTCCTTGCAAAAATGTATACATAAGAAGAGAGAAAAAGACAGATGACATACATTTAAAATTGTGTTGCCATGAGATGTGTGTGTGTGTGTGTGTGTGTGTGAGTGTGTGTAAAGGGGTTTCTTCCATAGGACATCAAGAAACAAGCTGTGCATAAATGGTATTGCTGTGAGTAAAGTGAAAAAAGAATATTTCCTTAGAAATGATCAGGACTATTTGAATTTAACAACATGAGGGAGAAAGCACTTGATCGTGGGTGGCCTCCAACTTTTAGGTGGCAATGAGCCAAGCAGGCAGAGCCAGATCACAAAGGGGAATATGCTTGAGTGTCTGTGATTAACCAAGGAGACACTACATGAAAAGAAGAACAAGACTGTATGTTAAGAAGAAAGAACCCAAACTATATTTATGGAATGAAGGATTCTGCCTGCCAGCAATGTTTGTTGCTGTGTGTGTGTGCATGTGTGTGTGCGTGTGTGTGTGTGTGTGTGTGTGTGTATTTGGCATCATCAAGAAAAACATTAGAAAGAAATTTTTAATTGCTCTTTGGCACCTAAAGATTGAGAATAGTGTGTCTAGTCCTGGTCACCACACGCACTGAGGCTGTGAATGGACCTGGAGAAAGTCCAGCAGTAATTCTGAGAGGGGAAGCATCTACAGAAAGATGTGTCCAAAAGCTAGAGTTATCAACCTGGAAAGTCTGTGCTGGAAGGAAGGGGATCTCCTGAGACAGTAAGCCCCATGAGTGGCTCTGATAAGATAAATGTAGATTTTTTTTTTACCTGATTCTGAAATTCTTGAGTGGGGAAGATTTGGATCAAATAAAGGGAAATACTGCTTCATACCACAGATAATAAAATTGAAGAAGCTTGTTACTTTCAAGATGTGGTACTGGCAGGAGATATAAATGAACTAAAAAGGATTTGAAGGACATGAGGCTGCCAGGAGGAGCTGGGTTCTACCTGACCTGAAAGCTGAGAAAACAAGACCCTTTGGGGCCCTGTTGCCAGGAGAGCCAGACAGCGGTGGCCCAGGCACCGCTCCCCACGTTCTAGGCTGCAGGAGTTTCTGATTTTGCTCCTGCTCTCCCATTAACCTTCCTTCCCACTCTGCAGACTTGGTTAGTGCTTGGGCTTTTGGCTAATGATGTGGGCAGACCAGAGTCTGCCTCACTGCAGAGCATCATTTAGGAAGGAGGAGCGACTTACCCAATGCCATTTCTTCCCTCCTTCCTCCCTCCTTCCCTTCCCTTTCTCTCTCACTCTCTTTATTTTCTTTATCTTTCATTCATTCATTCAACAAATATTTATTGAACATGTAGGATGTGCCAAGCACACTAGGCATGAAATAAAAAACTAAACAATTTTAAACGTATGTAAAATGTGTAGTTGCGGGTTATGGAAATGCTAGAAGGAGGGACCACAAGCTCTGAGAGGAAGTAGTTTCATAGTGCATGTTGGGGTTGGGGGATGGAGGGGAACTTAGATACACTGGCCAGAGAAGGACTCTCAGACCTACAGGATGAGCCGAATCCAGCCAGGCCTGGTGTGGGTAGAACATTCCTGGCAAAGCGAGCACACATACAGAGGTTCCAGAGTGTGAGAGTGTTTGGTGTGCATGGGGGTTGAAGAGGCCAGCGTGGCCAGAGGTCGGGGCAGAGACAGTGGCGGGGGGCAGCTCCAGGTCCGAGTGGAGGAGCAGGCAGTGCCCACTCACACAGGACCTGGTAGGTAGGCCATGGCAGGGAGTTTGGATTTTATTCCAATTTAATGGCAAAACATTTCAGGAGTTTAAAAAGCCTCTTTTTTTTAAACAAAAGTAGATTGGTGATATATCTTTCAGGGTAACTGTACTTGGGTGTCCCTGTTAGGACATGTGAAAATGTGCCTAGCTCTTGGTTGCAGATCTGTTACTGAAACGTGTAGCTTTTCTGTTCCTGGCCATCCTCCTGTGGCCATGGTAGGGACATCCGATAACGAGAAAGCCCTTGAGGGAAGGGGATGAGCTGGTTCATCAGGAAGGTTGTGACAATTTCTTGGGTACTGGCTCTATCCTTATCGCACTTCCCAGAGAGCTGAGAGCCAGAGGAAGTGCCTGTGTCTCTGTTTTCTTCTATGTGTGCTGCGCGGTCTCCGTCTGCATTCCCCTGTGCTTCCTGGGATTGCTTCTAAATAAGTTACTTGCATTCAAATCCATGTCTCAGGGTCTGCTTTTGGGGAAACTCCACCTGTATATTACATTGAGCTTTAAACAAAGAGGAAAAGAAAGATCTTGCCATGCTTCCTGGCACCCATTAAATCTAGACTTCTTTCCCCTAAAAGGGGTGGGATGATGTCATCAAATCCTACCTATGAAGACACTGAGAAGCTGTGACCAGCTTGGAGTCAGAGGAGATCACGCCACTCCCTAGGTAACATTTCTCCAGTAATGCTTGGGAAATGTGAACACTGAGAAAGTCTGCTACTAAGAAAGAATATTTTGATATGCTGGGTATACATGTGAATACTAATGCAATAGTTCAAAAGGAAATTTGTGTCATGTAGCTGTAATAGATGACTTGTGATAATAAATCAGTCAGAAATTCCCATGCTTCCCCTAACCTCCGTGACCAAAGACCCCTTGTGATCTATGAAAAATTGCAATCCAAACAATAGTAGTTCACAAGGTAATCAAGAGTAGAATCTTTTGTGCAGAATAGGAATAAATATCTCAGATCAATCTTCCAATCCAAAATATTTTGTGGAACACCTTTTTACCTGTATAATTTTATGTGAACCTTTTTTTCCATTTTGTCTTACAATGAAGCCATCAAGATGTTGTTAAGGGCCCCAGAACTTTCTGATTCTCCTTATGAGCCTGTTGAAGTCATGGACTGGAAAAGTACGACATAGCGTTTTGCCAAGGAGACAAACCTTAACCAACTGATTCAATGATTCTCTGATTTGAGGACTTAAACTATAAGTCAATTAATATAAGTAAACACTGGACATGAGACACAAACGTTGGAGAAATACTGGGAGATTTAATTCAGTCAGAAAACTCTCTCCAGCATCATTTTCTACCATAGGTATTGAGTGTAACCCAAGACCACACTACTAAATTTTGAGTAATGCCACAGAAAAATCCTATTTTAGCATGTTCAGTGCTACTACTCTTTGAGACAAGTGTTTGTTTTTTTATTTTCTTAAATGTCTTAAGTTTTGTTCAAATCTAACACATCAGGGAAGACTAGCTAGACTCAAGGGAAGGAAGAGAATTATTGGAAGAATTAAGGACAGAAGGAGTCCTCCACCAGCTCCTAGCCTGGCAGGCTGTGCCTTCTGGTTCTGTGGGCCGGTTAATGGGATCATGAAAATAGAGGAGAAATAAGGAGAGATGACAAGAGCAGGAAGTGACCTGGAAGCGATTTTCCAGAACATGTGTGCCTGGCAGAGACTGAAAATGAGCTCTCCCGTGGCTGTTTCTTCTCTAGGCCATTGATATGTGCTGCCTATGGGTTTTTAGATGATTAATAAAAGCATGTTTCAAAAGGGTTTGAAAATGTTGACGTACTGACAGATGTTTATATCGTGTGTGACCTTCTCATGTCAGGGGTGGCTGTGTGCTGGCAAACGATACATCTTCCAAAAGCCATGGACCCTAGAGTGTGCTGAGACCCAAAATGAATTTTTTAGTGCAAACTGTCAGAAGTCTGAATTAAGATTTCAAAGAAAATAGGGTGTTTTCTTGGTGAAGACTCCGCAAATGTGAAAGTATGAGGGTGATGGGGTAAGTGGGTCACAGTTTGTGGGGAAGAAGGAATTCTGGCCTGTAGTTCAGAGGTATAAGTTCTATGTTCTTTGTCTTTTCTTACAATCCAATGTCAAGTCCTGAAATGATTTAATTTAAAAACTCATTACAGTCCTTTTAAAAGACCCCTAAGACTGTAAATGGGAATGTTAAATGTGCCACCACATTGCTTCTACAGTCATGGCCTGGGATTGATGAGAGCCGGATTCTTACCCTGGCTCTGCCTCCTGGTGACTGTGAATACCCTTCCCCTCTGTGGCCCCTGGCGCTCGTGTCAGAAGTCCAGCTCTCAGAGTTGATGAGTCTGGGCCATGGAGGAAGCGAATAGCCCATCCAGGGGAGGCCTATGGTATAGAGGTCCCCAGGTGTGGCTCTAAGCCCTGTCTTACTACAGAGACACATTGCTGGTAAGAATTGATGGGATTACTGGTGGGTGAAGTATCTTTTCTTTTTTATACTTTTTTTCCCCTTTACGTTTTCTACAGTGAATATTTATAACTGTTACAATAACAATGATCAGGGCAGGGAAGGATAAAGTTAAACTCCAGGAAACGAGAGCAAAGATCTGATCGAAGGCTGGAGAATGAGGAAGTACCCGAAGGCCTCAGCCTCTTACTCAGGTGTGGCCCTGGCCAAGACCACCTTCATGACCCCGGAACACCTGCCCGCCTCCAGGAGGTGGCCGGTTACCAGTTGGCCCTCGGAGCGGGTGGAGTCAGGGTCAGATGGGTGCCACTCTGCCGGTGTGTTCCTCGCGGTGCGGGCCCGTGGGGAGGAGCCTGTCTGCGGCGGGCTGACTCAGGTGTGCTGTTTTTCAGCTCTCCCATGCGTGGTCGGGGAGTGGAGCCCCTGGAGCGGCTGCGCCGACCGCTGCAAGCCGACCACCCGCGTGCGCAGGCGCCCGGTGCAGCAGGAGCCGCGGAACGGCGGGGCGCCCTGCCCGCTGCTGGAGGAGAGAGCCGGCTGCCTGGAGTACTCGACGCCGCAGGGCCAGGACTGCGGGCGCTCTTTCGGTACTGGGGATTTCGAGGCGTATGCCTTGGTGGTCTTTGATGCCTTTCCATCTCGTGGTATCATAAAAGCTCCAGTGTCGGGCAGGGAAAGTTCCATGCGCTGCAGGGAGCACGCCCGCCTGTCCAGTGTAGATAGGAGGCTCAGGAAATGCCGAGAAGAGAATTGGCGGTAAGCCAGTAAATGCCTCCCAACTCGCCCTTCCCTCGCTGTGTTTGTGACCCAGCGGGGGCCCTTCCTCCTTGCAAGCCCACTCTGTGTAAAGGACGTGTGACTTGTGGTTCTTACCGACTCAATCAGCTGGTGACACTGGATGATAGATGCAGGATAGAGAGATCCAGTATGATTCTAGGTCACCCTACACTGTAATTCCCAGTTGGTCATGTGCACTCACCACACTCGTGTGAAGAGAGTATAAAAATTATAAATTCCTAAACCACAATAAAACGGTTCTCTGAAAACACTCGCCTCTCCTCTCCAGCTGAGTGGATGGGGGCTGATGGGATCATATTTGTGATTTGAAAAGATCGTTCTGGTTGTGGAGGGGCCAATGGAGGGGCCAGGGGGTTGAGCCATGTGAAGCTTGTAAAGAAATAAGCAGAAAGGGCCAATACTGATGTGTTGATCTGGATTGAATCTGACAGGGCAAAACTGACATCTCAGGAGAGCAAAGATCATATGTTTTTCACAAATTTCAGGCCATGACCCTTGGCAAGCCATTTTGGTCCTTTTTTCATTCCACACACACAAATTTATTGAGAGTCTACTTGATGCCAGGCACTGGGCTGGGCACCAGGCTTACCATGGTGAGAAAGTGGGCATGGAGCCTGCTATCATGTAGAGCACAGTGGAGCACCAGGAAGGAGGAGGAGGATCAGATAATACTGGGACATCAGTCCCAGACAATTACAGCTGCAATTTGGGGCAACCGTACTAAGCAAGTGGGGGTTGTGCGGAGCTAGGAAGTGTGTGTGGTGAGCTGATTTCCCCTGGCTATGGGGGAAAAGGGGAACCAGAGGGGTGACAGAGGGGTCGGATTTCCCTTAGGATGTGGTGAAGAGGCTGGGAAATGTAGAGCTGTCTGGTCAGAGAACCAGTGTGGGGAACCACATAGTCACGTATAGGGGGTTCAAGGGATCTGCAGGCTGATCTAGGAAAAACATATGACCACGAGAGGCAGGAACAACCAAGAAGCTTTATTGGCTGGTGCTTGGAAGGGAAGCCCAGAGGCTATAGTGTGGGACCCCCATCTGGAAGGAGAGGAGAGGAACCTGCCAGGAGTTGTGTCCAGGTAATGTCAGCTGAGCTGCATGGCCTGGAGTTTGGGATCAGACTGATACAGAGGGCAAGGGGAAGAGCAGTAGCAGCTTGGGCCTTATGACCCCAAGGCATTAGCGTGTCAATGGCCTGCAGAGGCTAGGTGTGGTTTCAAGTATATCCAGGGCAGGCCAGGCCCAAATGGATAAAAATCTGCTTGTTTGACTTTTTTTTTTTTAATTGGATGTTTAAAAATTTGACTTCAGTGCCAGTAGGCTTTGTAGCTAACAGGTCTCATTCTTCTGTGGGGAAATAATAACCCAGAGGCCCTCTCGGCTCTTGGGGGAAGCCCAAGGCCCATCTGAGGAGCTGAAGGGGTAAGAAGCACGGAGAGGGGGCTGAGGGGTGGGCATATGGGCAGACACCCCCTCAGTGCAGAACCTCGGAGTTCTATTTGGGATTCTGGTCTCTGTCTTAAAAGCCCTGGAAAGCCACTGTGGTGGTCTCTGCAGGGCCGATGTGATCAGATCTGTGATTTGAAAAGATGGCTCTGTTGGGGAACTGGAGAATGGAAAGGCAGAGCACGGGCCTCATAGAGATGGCTCCCAGGGAAATGATTTAGTGCTCAAAGAAGCCGTCCTAGAACCAGATCACATGCTGCCGTGCACTCTGCAGGAGCACTACAGAAAAGGCTCAAGGAGGAAGGTGCTGTGGAAGATTGTTGATTTTTTTTGACGACTCTTAAAACCTGTAGTCAATGTATAGGGAAAGCAGCTGCTCCACTCATTTCCAGGGTTTGGCTGCTAGAAAGTATTTCCTCAGTGCATCTGACTCTTGAGTGCTGTGCAGCCTGTCCCAGACCCCTGCCCAGCCCTGGATCTCTGTATAAAAGGACAGGGCAGGTCACAGGCACAGGGACAGGAAGATTAATGGAGAGGGTGCTGTGGAGCAGGAGCCGAAGGCACAGAGCCATGGCCCACACCCTGTCCCGGGGGCTCTTCCAGAGATCCCAGCCCTTTGTTCTCTGACTGGGCAAAGCCACAGGCTGGCTCTCCTGCAAGCCACATCACTGGGCACACCGCTCTAGGAATTCCAGGAGCAGCAGTCTTCTCATACTGGTGACTTCATATAATGCCAGCAGGAGATACCTGTCTTTAGTGGCCTCTCTGCCTAATAAGCTAAAGTAAAATCTAGTTTGGAAAGAGAGGAGCGAATCTTTACTTGGGGCAGGGCTGCTGGCATTTGCAGCCCTGATTTGGGGCCCCCGGATTTCCTTTCCTGTTGGGTTGTCTTGGAAATGATGACTCCTGTCACGGGCTGGTCAGGGAGGACAGGACCCCTTGAATATTCCAGTCTGGTGGCTCCTAAAGTGTGGTTCTGAGCCGGCAGTGCCAGCCTCACCTGGGAACATGATAGAAATGCAAGTTCCTTGGGCCCCACCCAGACCCAGGGGTCGGAATCACTGGAGCTGGGCCTGGCACTGCTTATGGCAAGGCCTCCAGGGGTCCGGCTCCCACTGAGGGTGCAGCCCCGCTGTAGCCCAGGCACAGACTCGGTTCTTCCTCAGCCCCCCGGGAGCCGTAGCTGGATCATGTCACTTAAGGGACACTTTCTTGAAGGCAGAAGTTGCTATAGTGCAGAAAAGGTGTTTAGCCAGGAAAATGTGGCATAAATCAGACAATTTTCTCTACCAAAGAATTTCTCAGAGGCTTTCTTAAGCTAAAATGCATTTTAATTCTACAGGAGGGAGATAGGATATAGACTCATTTCCCACCTTATTTTTCAAATGGCCTTTTCTTCCAAGGGGCATCTCACTAAATCACTCATGTTCTGTGGGCTACACGTTGGAAAATGACAGACTTCGAGGAGATAGAGGGGAATGAGAGGCAGTGACATGGAAATCCACTTTAGTGGATTCTCCCGAGTCCCCATTTCACCCCAGTGCCTGTGTGTTCATTTTTGTGCTCCATTCATTAAGGTTCACCAAGCACCCACCACATGCCAGTGCTCTGCTAGGTTTGGAGATGCAAACTTAAGTAACATAGCACAGCTAAGTGTAACTCAGGAGATGAGTGAGCACTGGGATGGATGGAAGGATGCTCAGATGGGTTGGGGAGCAGGGAGCGCCTGCCTCCATCAAGGGCTCCGATCCTGCTGGATGGTCACTGTCACTGCAGCCCCCTGCCCCCCAGACCTCCTACTCGCAGAGCTCGCCCCTACTGCACAGCTCGCCTTTGCCTCGCACTTGGCTGCAGAGAGCTTTCACAGATGTCTTTGATTCAGTCTTAATAGCAGTCCTAGAAGAGGTTGCATCAGTCTTCTGTGGCTGCTGTAGCAAATTACCCTGCACTTGGTGGCTTAAGACACAAATTTATCATCTTACAGTTCTGTGGGGTGGAAGCCCAAAACAGGTCTCGATGACCTCAAACCAGGGGGTCCACAGGGCTGTGTTTCTTTGGGAAGGCTCAGCAGAGTCTGCTTCCTTGCCTTTTCATGGAAGAAAGGGGATCCTTGTTGTTAGGGGCCGAAAGCTTAGCAGAATTGTGTCCTGCAGTTATGTGCAAAGTAAAACTTTCGAGTGATGAATTTGGATATTCAGCTGAGAAATTTCAAGCCAAGTGTTGAAGGTACAGCCTGGTCTTCTTGCTGCTTACAGTAAAGTGGAAGAGCAAAGAGATGGATGGAGAGAGGAACCTTTTAATCCTAAGGGAATAGGACTTGATGAATTGGAAAATTCTCAGCCTACCAAAAATAGCACAGGATGCTAAAACTAAGAGATTTCACTCTCAGGAAGTTTGTCCTAGAGAAAAACACCAAGGGTGTGTTGTACAGCCTTTTGTCAATATGTCAGAGTTAGAGGTAACAAATTGCCACAAACGTAGTGACTTAAACAGCAAATGCGTTATCTTAACAGCTCTCGAGGTCAGAAGTCAGGCATAAATCTCACTGGGCTAAATCAAGGTATCAGTAGGGCTGCGTTCCTCTCTGGAGACTCTGGTGGAGAATCCATGGCCTTTTCATCAGTGTCCAGAGGCTGGCCACATTCCTTTTCTCATGGCCTCCTCCTTGGTCTTCACAGCCAGCAATGCTGTATCTCTCGGTGTCTTACTTTCGTAGTATCCTCTTTCTCTGACTCTGAAGGACTCCTGTGATTACACTCAGACCACCTGGATAATCCAAGATCATGTCCCCATTTTAAGGTCAGCAGAGGTAGAAACCTTAATTCCATCTGCAGCTTTAATTCTTTGCCAACTAACATAATATATTCATAGCTTCTGGGGATTAGGATATGGACATCTTTAAGGGCTATTATTCTGCCTACTAAGGAGGACAGTATCATGACCCTTGGTTTACCCATGAGGACATTGGAGCTCAGAGAGGTGATTATGTAGGACTGCCAGAATTTAAGCCTGGATCTTGTGGCTCTAAATAATGTGGGGTTTTCCCTCTTGCTACTGCTTTGCTGTCAACTGTTGTCAGCAGAGCTAAAGGTCCTGTGAGGCCAAAGAATGAAACATGATCGCTGAAGCTCTCTAATAATTAATGATCAAGGAGCTATTGCATTTTTCCTGTTTCATTTAATGCATATCTTGACTATGTCTTTATCATAAAAACAAATCCAAAAAGCCATGATTGTATTTGTTGCACATATTAACAATTGTTTATGTGAGTTTTCCTCCTGAAAGAAGATCAATGAGTGATATAGACTATATGCTTCCAGGCCAGTGTTGTTTGTCAAACTGTCATTTTCTTCTCTTCTGCACTACATCCACCACTGGCTCTTAGCCTGCTTTTGTGACACCCTATTGTGTCAGAGGACTTCATAAAATTCTCAAAGCAAATTAATATACTTTCATGTTCGAAGTAACTGTGTGTGGTGCCACGCTTTTAGAAGTGGAAATTGTAAAATCGAACAATGGCAAGCTGGTAAGACACCAGAAAAGTTGGCAAATGGCCTCTTAACAAAGAATCCATTACATTTGAATATTGTTGCCAGGAAGGGGAAAGGAGGGGGCACTGGTGTTTGTTGAGAGCCTTTGTCCTGGGCACTGGCTATGTGCTTCCACACATAAGCAGAAGCTAGACAAAAGCACAAAAATTTTCTAAATTATTTACCATTCTTAAGTATGAAAATTAAATTTGTGGGGGATATTTAAAAATGGTGCTGGCTCAGAGTCTATTTCCTGAAGACTCAGGCAAGGGGGCAGGGTGCTCTCTCAGCAGCCTGTGCCATCAACCCAGTCAGGGCTGGAGGGGGCTGACGGGAGAGGAGGCCTAGGGTTACTGGCTGGCTTTCATGACGGGTCATAAGCGCAGAGGCTTGCCATGGAACTTGGCTGCTAGGTCTTAAAATCAGAAGCTCTCTTCTGTGTTGTGGTCCCTGCTTAGTCATTTACTATTTATTTTCCCTTCATTTAACCTCTGTGAGCCTCAGCTTGATGAGAAAACCTCTTTGTAAAGCTTTTGTGGTGAGCAGGCCATCAACACAGGGAACCATCCTACCCGGCCCACTGAGGCCCTGGTCCTGCACACCTGGGTCTCAGCTCTGCCTCCCTCAACCCATGTCTCACGGGGATACAATGCAGAGGGCTCACTTTCCCCTTTTCTTAGATCTCACTCCACTTAAGGACAATGATGAGGGACAGAAAGGGAAAGTGGAGCAGAATTTAAGTAATTCATGGAAATACGCTGCAGAAAATAATGAAATGTTCTAGTCTGCATTATAATAAAGGCTTTACTGTGGCAGCAGATGCAAGGTCTCAGAGACTTTGCCTGACACTGCCATAGTTCCACAGGAACCCTGGACACATTTCTTAGTCTTTTTTTGGCCACAATCTCATCTGTGAAATGAGAAAATAATAGGATTTGTCTCAGAGGGTCATTGTGAGAATTTAATGAATTAACACATGAAAGTGCTTAGCACTGTGCCTGGAAACTTAGAAGGGCCTAAGTGTTAGCTTTTGTTTTTATTATAGACCTTTTCCTAAAAAGTGTATGTCAGAAACTGTTTTCATGTATTTGCTCTCTACTTCCTGAACTCATCTTTTCCCCTGAGCTACACATTAAGTGCATTTCCTTTGAACTTTTGCAACAGTATGTGTAGTACAAATTAAGACATCAAATAAATGTTTGAGCTAAAGGGATCCTGAAAAGTTTATAGTTTGACTGGTATAGTGCTATGTGGATTTAGCAGTAAATGCATTCTTTACTTAATGAATAAACACATAAATGTGACAGAAGAACAGAAAAGAAAACAGTACATGGGAAAATTTAAACCCTTTAGATGTTTGTGTTGCTGATGATCAGGTCTAAGAGATGCAGAGGAGGATCCTAACATACATGCACTCACTTGTGCCTTTTGATTCTGTCCGTGGATTTTGGTAGGTAGTTCAAAAGCTAATCACATTTAGTAAGAGTTACGTGCTCTCTCTGGAAAACAGTGAAACATGTTGATGTGGTAAGGAAGAGACACAGAGCTGGGACTCAAGGGCTTATGCTCGGCGTACATAATTCTCAATCGACACCTGCAGCTCTTAGGAGAAAGCAGCTGCCAGATATCAGGCCACTCTTCTCTTATGTTCCTAGTAATAAAAAAAAAAAAAATGACTCATTGAGAAAATCTAAAAAGGAATTAGGGCTGCCATCTTGTGGCAGTAAGGAGCCAGGTAAAATGAACGTGAAAGTGTGAAGCATCTATTTTGCAACTGGTTACCCGCATGTCATTTTGCTCATGTTGGTGATGACTTAGGCATTGCACAAGACATTACCTGGCATCTACCCTTCCCGGGATAGTCCAGTTTCTGAAATGTAAGGTAGGGAGGATTGTTGAGCCATCTCAGCAGCAAGGCTCAGTGTAAGGGCAGAAGACCCTGAGGAAATAGGACTTGTGCTCCTTACAGCAATTTTGTGACTTCATTCATTCACTCATCGGCCTGTTCGTTCACCGCACATACAGTTAGTAAGTGGCTAAATGTGTGAGGGTGTCAGTGATGAACAGGGCAAAACCCTGTGTTCCTTGAGTTGACAGCAGAGTGAATCAAGAGGTTAGCACGAAGTGCTGTATATACAGCAGAAGATGCCCCAAAGGCTGAGATGAAATGGAAGGATAAAGTACAGTGAAAAAAAGAGAGCAGAGGTGGAGGGCAGAAGTCCTGGCTCCTTTTCTTTCCTCCATCCAGAGCTGCAGAGTTGAGGTGGGGGCGGGCAGGGGGAGGGAAGGGGCTGTAGGTAGGTGGTGAGCCTCTGGGCATCCTTCCCTGGAGACCCGGGAGCACTCCCTTCCTTTGCTGCTTGTTTCTTCCCTTCCTTGTTTCCTCTCTCTCTGGCTTTTTTTTTCCTCCTTCTATCCCCCTTTTCTCTCTTTTCTGTTTTCTTTCACTCCCCTTTCCTCCTTCTCTTTCTCTCCCTTCTATTAACTTTGTTCTTCCCATCTTTACCTTCTCTATTTCTCTTCCTTTTAGTTTTAAAACTGGCCTCTCCCTTTCTCTATTACCCCTCCTTGTCTCCTGGGTCTCCTCCCCATCTTTTTACTATTTCCTTTTGGTTTTACTTCTGGGCCCTTTCCTTCCTATTCAGTGTCATTTATTACTGCAGACAAGCCTGCTTGTCAAAGGCCTGTAGCTCCCCTCTCTACCTGTCCGTGTGATGCAGCTCTTTACCAAACTGGGTTCTGGGGACACTGTCCCACCCCTTGATGGTGTGTGCCACACACCTTTGGATTTAGAAATGTAAGGCTTTAGACAGGTTTGAAACCAAGTTTGGGAAACAGTGCTCCGAATCCTTTAGGATCCATGTGTTCACCCTTGTTCTCCCTTTTCAGTCCCTGCCTTTATCACTGCCTCTGCCTTCAGCAAGGAGAGAACGAGACAAGCTGCCTCTCCGCACTGGTCTACAGACACAGAGGACACTGGGTACTGTGGTGGTTTTGTCTTGTTTTGTTTTTTTAACTTATGTTTTTCCAGTTGTATGGCCACGTCAGCCCACAAAGGTCAACTTGGGGAGTTGGGTTTTCCTGTTATGTGTTCATTGACTTTGGGCAAAACATGACCACAGAGTTGGGAAAGTACTTGCCCCTCCCTGCTTTTGTGGGGCTATAGAGATTTATTTGTCTCTGGGGTCTGCTCTCCAATGAGAAACATGCTCTATTAGACAGATCGTTTTATCAGCTGTATTAAGGGTGCTCCTCGGTATAGTCTTTGTGGGACCATGGGCTCCAGCACCACCTGTCTGGTGGATTAGAAGTGGCCCACACCTCAGGCTGAGAATGTCTATCAAGACCCAGTGGCCCAGGCTGGGAAGGAGGAACCTCCATGGCTCACCTGAAATCCACTCTTCTACCCTCAGCACAGGGCCACAGGTGGTTTTGGGTTCAGATCCCCACTCTGCCATTCACTGGCCCTGAGGACTTGGATAAGTTGTTCTGTCTCTGTTTTTCTTCTTGAAAAATGAGATTAAGGCCTACCACATGGAATTGTTATGAGAATTTAATGAGAAAATATCATTGAGGAGATGTATGGGTTAGGCTATCTGATTGAATGAGAAGCAGCAAGACAGAATTTCCTACCTCCATACCTGAAGGTACCTAATAAATGGCCTGTCATTGTGAAAGATCTTGGAAGCATAATCTCCAAACACTTTCCATCTAATTTGTTACAGCTCATAATTCTCTAAATAAGAAACTAGACCATTGTAGCTTAGAACCCAAAATGCCACATTCGGGGTTTTTCTGTTTGCTTTCCTGAAGAATTGGAATTGCTTTGCTTTTAAGTACAAGACTCTAAAGTATTCTCCCATGTGTGGATGTTCCCCAGAGGCCTTCCAATGCTTAGTAGAAAGTGACACTTGACTTTGTCCCAGAAAACCATGTCTCAGCTTCCCACTTCCTTTTATCTGTGATGCCCAATATAACTTTGAGGCTTGACTTTGAGTCACATCTCATCATCATCGTCCCCGAAGGGGCAGGTAAGCTGGGTGGGAAGTGCAAGGTAGGCCCCTGTGGGGGAGGGGGCAGAAAACACAGGTGCTGGCCTGGGCATCAAGGAGCAGTCCTCCTGGGGCCCACAGGCTCAGCAAGTTCTAGTTTATTTTATGTAATTCTTTAAAATACCAGCAAACTTACTAAATGCTATTTCCCTACTGAAATGTGCTTTTATATACAATTTAGTGGTCAGATTAAATATGATACAGGATATCCAAATTTTGGCAATTTCATGTTGACCAGATAGTTCACTCATGGATTGAAAAAAAGCAAAAAGTTTCCCCTGGTTGTCAGTTGGGCATTGTCCTAGTTCAGCGAATGGGAAGCTTTATGAGGCATTCTGGAACTGACAGGTCACCTATGTAGTGTTAGCAAGGCACTGCCTTCTCCAGTCTGTCACATGCCTTGGGGAATCATGGGCTTTCTAGGACTTTCTATAGCATTAGGCCACATCTCTCTTTACATCAAGTGAAATTGTTCCTTGTTTTGCTTTAGGTACTGTATGGAGTTCAAGACAGAGTCTTTGACACACCACTGTGCCATGGAAAACCGCCCTCTGACTCGATGGATGCAGTATCTCCGAGAGGGGTACACAGTGTGTGTCGACTGCCAGCCTCCAGCTATGAACTCTGTGAGCCTTCGTTGTTCCGGGGATGGCCTGGACTCTGATGGGTAAGGGAGGGAAATTGGTAGAAAATCTTTTCTTTATACTCATTTGGAGAGATCTGTCCTCTGTGTTCGGAGCAGCTGACCAGCATATACTGTAACATTATCAAGGCAAGATTTGGGAATCAAAATGGTAACTAAGGAGAAACTCCTAACAATTCGAGTCCAGGGCCCTGTTCACACTGTGGGACTCAGAGGCTCTGTACCGGAGATGAATCCATGAATTTGGACATTGGCGTTCAGACTGAGCTCCCAAATGACCACCCAAGACCTGATGTCTCCCAAGCCGTGTTCTAAAGGCCACTTGGATCAGAAACTTTGGAGGTGGATTTTTAACCATCTCCTAGGTCAGGGGTCAGCAGATAGTGATACTTATTTTCAGCTTTGCAGGCCATATGGTTTCTGTCACAGCTACTCAACGCTGTCATAGTAGCAGGAAAGCAGCCATAAGCTCTTTGTAAACAGATGAGCCTGCCTTTGTTCTAATAATGCTGTATTTATGGATGCTGAATTTTTTTGAATCTCATATTATTTCCTGTATCATGAAATAGTCTTTTGATTTCTTCTCAATTGTCTAAAAACATAAAAATAATTCTTAGCTCATAGGCTACACAAAACACTGTGGGCAGGATCAGGCCTATGGGTTGTAGTTTGCTGAGTCCTGCCCAGCTGATTTTATGTCCCCTGAAGTTTCAGAACTACTGCTTAGTGGGGTAGTCATGAAATCATGACTGAGAGAGTGGGGGGCTCAGCTTTGCAGGGTTACAAACCTACAGAATTCTATAGAATCTTGAATTCTATATTCAAAAGAACTGACCCTGAAAACACTTTCTCACCCTGAAAATCTGTCCCAGTCCTGAACTCATTTATCAGCTAAGCCCAGTAACCCTAAATTCCTATCTAAGAGAAGAGCTGACTTCACCATGTTGGTAGCTATTGGACAAAGACCAATTTGGGTCACACATAGATTGCAGTTCCAAGCATGTCAGGTCGAACGGGTACAGGTTCAAAAGTAAAATACAGACTTTTCCAGTTAGTCATTATTCCTATATGTTTTAATATTTAATAACTCAAGTTTGTTTATATTAGTCACTTTTGCCTAATTGTCTCCATATTGAGTATATCACATGAATGGTAAAATGAGTAAGACCTGCTATCAAATGGAAAATTAATATTTAGACTTAATATTTCTCTGAATACCTCATTCTATTTTGACTTTAATTTACACTTTAATTGTACCTATAAAGTGCCTTTGAACACTGGCAAGGATCTGGTGACTTTAAAAAAATAATAATTTCAATAATCTGGCTTTGCTCCTTCTATGTCTCCCAGTTTTTCATCATGGAATCAGAGTTGGAAAGGATTACAAGAGCTCGTTTGGTATAGACCTAATTTAAATATACATGAAACAGGAGACCATTTTCCTTCATTTAGCACTTCATGTGAGAGAAACAAATATAGTCACCTCAGATTACTCTCAACACAAGGGTTTCCTCAATAGGGATTAATTAGTAACTTTTTCTGATAGAACCCAGAGGGAAAACTTAATTTGTGATCATTTTTTAAAAATTTAAATGTCATACACTTCAAAACTCTAGTTATGATCATTCTTAAAAACAAGATACACAAAAACTTCAATATATAGTTCTGTAAATTAGAATTTGCTTTGCTTTGCTTTTAGTGTAACTAACATTTTCAAAATATTGTTTCAGAAATCAGACTCTCCATTGGCAAGCAATTGGCAATCCTCGGTGTCAAGGAACTTGGAAAAAAGTTCGGCGAGTAGAACAGTGTTCTTGTCCAGCTGTTCACAGTTTTGTTTTTATATAGACTGCAGTGTAAATATTTCAGATTGTGTTTGTAAACATGCTAAATATTATCAGGTCGTGTTCAACACTTCATAAACTTTAAAAACTGTTTGGCCAAAGTCCTTGAACACATGTCATCGCTCCACTCTGAAGCAGAGAAAGAAAATTTAGGGGCCAGTTCTCAGGACACACAGTACCTTTATTTTTATTTTTACTAAGTTGAGGACCCATCCTAAAGGCTCCTGTGCTTTTGTCTCCTTGACCTTTTTACAGAGTCCTCTCCTTCAACAGGTGGCTCATGTGTAACACAGAATATATGTCTGCTTCCACTAAAATTACTACAATATGGTCCTTTTGTTGATGAGTTATTTAAGGGTTTCCACACTTTGAATCTTGCATTCTTTCTATTCCATAATCTCTGAAAAACTGCTTTAAAAAATGTGTACTGATATATGAACACTCTCACACATATACTTCCTGTATATTAGTCTATATATTCTAAAAGAGTAACTTAAAGAAGGTTATCACAAATAATTTTCCACAGAACAATTTAAAGATTTAGTAAGCATTTTGTAATGAAAAACCAACAGCTATGCTAAAAATTCTTCAAGGAAAAATTTTCTTCTGTTAATTGAAAAGATCAGATGTTCATTCTAGATTAACGCAAGCTCCTTTGGATGTTCTAAGTTTCACGAAGAGAAATTTGGCACCAGTGAATGAAACAATTGTTTTTATTGTGAGAATTCTTCCATCATTAGCATCTGAGATGATTTCTAAGGCTTAAACATTGAAGCTGATAAATAATCTTTCAGAGTCCTGCTTTAAGTTTAGTTGAAATTAACTTACTACTTTTTCCTTACAGCATACATTTTCTTATGTTTGGGGTGGAAGGCAAAGGTATAGATTATGGAAAGCAAGGATTTGATTACAAATATGATGGTCTTACATACACAAAGAAGTATCAGTCTTATTTTATGATCAGAAAACCAGTGATTCAGAGACAAAAACCAATGAATCAGAAAACCAATGATTCAGACAAATCAGAAACAAAGGCTTGTTTAAGGAGCTGGGATAACAAATCATTCTGAAAATTCATCACAGGGCCAAACGTCAGCTTCTCATCTAGGACTCAATTTTGATGAAAAGTTTGACTATACTTTTCTGTATAAAAGTATGCTGTAAAAAAGGTCAGCCTTTTTCAGTTCTGAAACAAGTTTTAAAATCAGAGTATTTTCTTTGGAGAACTGCATCTTGAAACTTAAACTATAGATGAAATTATTTTGGTTTCATTTCTGTAAAATATTCATTAACAAATGATTTACTGAAATACTTATTTCTTGGTGCTTATCATGTAATGACAGGATGACAACAGCAAGCTTAACAGGGATGGGAAACTTCCTAATATTTAATGCTGAGAATAGCAGTATTTCTGAGTATATATTCACTTAACTGTCAGAGTTGTTTTTGTGGTAAATTAAATTCCTCAGAAATTAATAATAAAAAATGTCTCATCAAGGTTAGGAACTTTGACTATCAGTTCAGTATTAACATTTGAAGACCGTTTCTAACACTTGTAAAAGCAAGATTTTTGAAGGCATACCTGGGTAATTTTCAATTTTACTTACAATTTTTATACTGGTAAATAAACTTTCTATTCACATTTTTAAGAGCTCTTTACTTGTTTAGCTAGAAAATACCCAAATTTTCTAGACTGGTCAGAGAATGAACAAAATTTCACCAAAAACAAGCCAAAAAACCTTCAGAATTGATAGGCATAGGTATGAAAACGAATAGCAATAACATGAAGATATATTTATTGTCCCAATACGTGTTATAACATTTAACATATTTGAGTTGTATAGAATATATTTTTCACCACACATATTTTAGTATATGGCTATTAACTGCTTTCATATTGAAGTATATTTTTGTTATTTTCATTCTGGAGAGGAATTTTCTAGGCTAGAAGACTTAACTATTAAATAATGGTTTAGAAAAGCTTGTTATTAATTCTAGCAAAGCCAAGGAGACAGTTCAGAACTGAAACATATTCTGATTAATGAAAAAATCAAAAAAGTTTTCATTTTCAAAGTTTTTATTTTATCTAAGACCTCTTAAGAATACTTTTAAATGAGAACCTTAGCGTCAGGGTCCCGTCCTCAGATACTCTACAATGATTTACAGACCCCAGAATTTTACTTGACAGATTTTCAAAAGTGCATGTGCAAACTAATTTGAACAAAAATAAATATATGCTCAGGGAAAAATAGGGGGAAAAGTTAGGGATGGTGCTCATTTAGAAGAGGAAAGTGAATAAGAAAGAGTGAGAAGGAAAAGAGGAAAAGGCAGAAGGTGATCTACAATCACACTTACCTAGGGTCTTTCTTGGGATGTTTCTGAGAATGTTGTGATTAAAAATAGCAATATCAGCAACTTAAATTGTTTAGTTCTATTCTAGTATAAAATTTTTAAGTAGCTATTTTTCTAGGTACACACAAAAATGATGCAAAATAGAATGGTTCTGCCCTCTAATAGCCTAGTGAAGGTTCATACAAGTGACCGCAAGCTGATCGGGGAAGCAAAGACCTTGGCATTCTGCGGTATAAGCAATCAGAGGATGAGCACATTGAAAGAGAAGAGAAACTTCCATCAAGGTGACAGATAGATACACGTTTACTCTCTCTCTTCCCCGAAATCCCATTATAGGATTGACAAGAGTAAATCTGTAATAGATGAGGAAGGGGGTGGTTGGGAATCAGCCCAGAGATTTTGAAGAATTTTTTTGCAGATTGCAAGCAAGTGGGATTTTCCTAATGGATAAAGCAGAATGGACGGACTAGCCCACTTAAAACATGTAGAAAAAGAAGGTACAGAGGTGAGAGCCATTCTTTCTGGGGGACGGAGGGAGTCCCACTGAATAGCAAACAAGATAAACTTTTAAAAATCCCCACCCCTAGAGAAAAATTCATGAAATTTAAAAATCAAGGATAAAGAAAAGACTATAACACCTTTCAGAGAAAGAAAAACAGATTACCTACAATGGAACAAGAGACCCTTGAGAAGACATCAGTTTTCTCATCTGCATCTGTGGATGCTTGAAATCTAATAAATAAAGGCTCCATGAGCTGAGGGAAAGTAATCTTGAAACTGGCATTGTAGATTGGCCAAACTACTATGAAAGTGTGAACGCAAGGTACACACTTTAAAAGGTACAAGGGTTCAGAAGCCTATCAGAGTCCAAAATAGTTTTCTTTTTTTTCAGTTAAACATGTCAGGTTGAACATATATTTACCTCCTTTATATCCTAATTCCCAAAAAACTACAGTTAAAGGATTTTTTTTTTTAAGGACAAAAAAGAAAAATATCAGTAAGGAGATCAAGAGAGAAAGCAAAAAACAGTTGGCCACAAAATTTCAGGACCACAGGAGCAGGAGAATTTGAGTCTTCAAGGAGTCAAGTGGGAAGGGAAAACACTAAGTAATTCTCTTGTAAATAACATAAAAACACTGGAAAATTATTACTCATTTCCTTTTAAGAGTTGTAGTTCATATAAACTATCACATTACTTGTATCAACTATTTCTGCTCTTCAACACAGGATATATTTAAATAAAGACTTTAATATTCAAGTATTTTGACATGAAGGTATGTGTGGTATCAGGGGGGACATTTAAACAAAAACAGTACCTTGGTGCCAGATACCAGTTTATTAGCTCTTGGCCCCAAATCCTCCTTGCTTGAAGGAGGAAAAACAGAAGGTAAACTGCTTTGCGATACTGGAGCTGGACTCTAAATATCTCGTGACATGGTAACTTAAACTGTCAATAGAGGGATCTGGAGTGACTGGAATGATAATGGCAGGAGGATCATTCCCTTCCAGTTGTGGCCCTCCTCCCATTATCCTATGTGGAGCTCTGTGTAAGTTCCAGCTGAGCCCCCTGGCTACCCTGTCCTTCCCCACTGCCAGTGATGTGGGCTGCTAGTCCAGCACAGCCTGCACCCTCTGGCCAGTTTCCTCTCCACCAGCCGGCTGTAGGTGGTTTTATAATCCTTAGTTCCTTTATTGCCCTCTCTTCCTCAGTCTTAGAGGGCGACTGAACTGGAAGTAAATTCAAAACTCTCCCCCTTCTCCCTAAAGAATAGTGGGAGCACTGCCTTGGGCCTAACTCTAAGAGGTTGTTACCTCAGTCAGCTGTCCTGAGGATGTGCAGCCCAAATTCTCATCACCCGGCTGGTCTTTAGATACCCAAACCCACTTTTAAAGTGGTTCTAAACTTGGAAATTTCCAAGCCTGGAAGGAAAAAATGAGATTAACGTAAATTCCCAGATTTGGAAGCAAATATATATCAGAACATAGTCCAACATATTTAAGGAATAAACCAAAATCTAGGAGCTCAGTCAGCAAACTACTGCTTGCAGGTTAAATCTTGCCTGCTATTTCTATAACTATAGTTTAATGGAAGATAGTTGTGCCCACCTATTTAGGTATTTGTCTATGGCTAATTCCAAAGCAGAGATGGCAAAGACTATGTGGCTCTGAAAGCCTAAAGTATTTTAACTGGCCCTTTATAGACTAAGTTTGCCGAAGCCCTGGCTGAGACCACTGCCATCTAATGTAATTATTGATGTGGTTGGATTCTGGTGCACCACTTTTTTCCTGTTTATTCCTAAGTTTGTTTTGCTTCCTGCTACCTCTTCCCTTTTGCTTTCTTTGGCTTTAGTAATTTTTAAGATTCCATTTTAACCCATCTATTGACTATGTTATCTTCTTTTATATGGTTGCTTTAGGGGTTACAAATGTATGTATGTAACTTTTCAGTTTATTTAAGTTACTGTTTAAGTTATTAATTATTCAGTTTATTTAAGTTACTATTATCCTAATACTCATGTAAACTTGAAAAGCCTTACAGTCATAAACTGGAAACACCTGAGAGACTGAATTTGTAAGTGGACAGCGCACACAACTTATGACAACAAACTGACGCACGACTGCAGCAACCAGTGTAGGGCAGGGAGCCACACCATGGCAGAAGCCCACCCAAACCTGTCAGGACCTGGCTGATGACTGCCAACAACCTTATTTTTTGTCCCCACTTTTAATCCAGGACCAATCAGAGAAAGCCAAATGTTCCCTAGAACAGTCCCATTGGGATGCCTGCTGATAGTCGGCCACCCTCCCACTTCCTCATGCCAACTGCCTCCAGTCAGAGAACGTCTGAAGCCCTTTTCACCATAAAGCTTCCCCCTCTGTAAGCCTCTGCCTGCGTCTCTGCCAAATACAAGTGATGGTGGCTGAGTCCCTTAGTACAGCAAGTTCTGCATAAACAGCCTCTCTTCTTTTTGGTGTGGCCTTAATTTCCCCAACTCAAATGCGTAACTGCATAATGGTAACTGCAATATAATCACATATATACTGTATACAAATGAAAATGAACATGCTACAACCACATTTATATGTTGGGTGAAAGATGGCAAAAAATTATACATTAGAGTATTTCATTTAGTTTCTTTAAGTGCCTCAAGAGAAAAATCCAAAGATACTTCTCTGGGCTTTGCAGATTGGCTCCGAGTGGGTCATTCAACATGTAGCCAGGCCACTTAATAGCTCTGCCTTAGCTTTCACTCCTGCACATGTAAAGCCCAAAGCTCATTCAAGGTGGAGGCCTAGGGACTTCCCAGGTCTTTTCTGGGACTTTCCAGTCCTGAGTATGTATGTGGCCTTCTGAATTCACTGGTTTACTGGAGAGTCCTTCACAGCTCTTTACCCCCACACATCTTTCTTCCCAGGATTTTCATCTGTTGCTTGCCATGTCTGCTGTCTCAGACCCCAGGAGTTTGGCAGGGAAAAGACAAAAGCAAACTTCTGAATTGAACCCTCAGGGAAACTACCAGAGAGGGTAAAACACACAGCCACAATTCTATGAGAACAAGTTCTATATTGGCCCCTCTGGCACCATCAAGCTGCACCAGAACGTGAGCCAATGTCCCTAAGTGGGGTGAGCAAAAACACCAACATCCTCTTACTGAAATCGAGTAGCCTCTTAAGAAAGCATTCCCTGTTGGTCTTAAGCTTCTATTAGATTTCAGTTTCAAAATGTTGATCCTAAGTTTTTGCCAAGCTTAATAGCTGCTTCAGGAAAGGGAAGGATCTTTGGAACTTCCTATTCCACCATTTTTGGTGATGTCAATTTCTATGTAACAGTTTAAAATAAAATTGTAGAAATGGAGGGCAGACTAGTGGTTTCCAGGGATTGGAGAAGTGATGAAGGAGGTAGAGGAGCAGCAACAGGAGGGAGCCTTGGGAGGCCCCACAGCTATGGCGCTGGACACAGGAATGCACATAGCAATAAACTGGTCACAACTAAGTATACACACCACACACACATACATAGTAAAACTGGAGAAATCTGAGTACGATTGGTGGCTTATATCATTATCAATATCCTGACAGTGATATTACTAGTTTTACAAATTAGTATTGGGGGAAAAAAAAATGAGTATTGAACAAAACTGGAACAAATATGTGAGGAACCTATCACTTTTTACATCTGCATATGAATCTACAATCATCTCAACAAAAACTTCCATCAAAAAAGTAATTCAGAAGATTAGGATTTAAGATAAGGAAGTTTAGGAAATACACCACCCAATTTGCTTTTTCTTATCTATTCACAAGTTACATGAAAAAAATCTGTTTAAATAAATATAGTTTTTTAAATAAGTAAAATTCTAAATATCAAAGCACCATACTTTAATTAAAATGATCTTTTCTGCTGGCACATAAAATAATTGAGCGTCTTACAGTTAACGGCAACTTAGATTTGATGATTTATGGTATGTTTGGAATGATGAGGTTGACTTACAGGTCCATTTTGGCTCACACTGCTAACTTTGACCAGAAAAATGTCTGCAATAAACACAATGACCATAATGATTGGTGTAAAAGGATAGACTCAATCAGGAAGCTTACAGTAATTATACATATTTGTTTACTCTGTTTATAGGGACAACAAATCCAGGAACAATGGGAAAGTAACGTGTAGAACTTGAACAGTAAATGAAATATAGATTACAAAACACTGCCATTTAACTTTTATGCAAATACTTCAGTATTTTCATTCACTTGTTAAATAAAGCATATGTGACTCAAAATGCTAAGTAACTATCAGTTTTTGACTAAATCCTCTAAAGAATAGAATGCAGAAAAAAAATATCAAAATTTTCCTGTAAGGTATGTATGACTTTACTTATTTATCATAGATGTTAAAATGATCATGATTAATACCAACTTAAGTACTTATAGAATCCATTTAAGCCCATTATTGGTATGTTAAATGGAAATATCAAAGAAACTGGTATTATGGCACCAGCTTACAAAGAAGCTTTATTTAAAACCACCTTCGTCAAAGTTTTAACACTGGAACAAAAGTCAGATGTACCTAAATAAGACATGAAGCTGTTCCTGGTAATAGTACAAATTTTGTCCTATGGGTATTGCTATTTTCAAGTATTTCTTTTATATGAAACTTCTGAAAGGAAAATCTAAGTTAGTTACAACTCACAGATTACCTTGAAAATTTACTATTCTATAAACAAAAGTCTTACTAATTATTAAGGCCATAAATCAAGTCATTACCTCTTACGTCAAAGGCCTAGGATTACTGATTTAGAAACTTCATGTGTGTGTTATGGAGCTGAAGTCAGCCTACAGACACGTAATGGGTTAACAGAAATTTTTTATTTTCTGTTACACCAGGTTTTCATTTTTTTAACTGGTACAGGATTTGGGAGTAAGGGTACTGAAATCACCAGGGTTCAACAAACTTAAATTTTATACACATAACAAGATTCTTAAAAAATAACAGTGATGACAAATAATCTTACTATTATAGCACAAATCCTCATATTAATGTTTTAAACAAAAGTTTTAAGATACACCAATAACCACCAAGTTCAAACAAAAAAAGTGATCAAAATACTTAACTGTCCTCTATTAATCTTTTACAAACACATTCAGTCTTCACTGTCTGAGGGAACCAATTTTAGCTTTTTCATAGTCCGCCATCTGTCTTTTAACATGACGCCTGTTCGGTTGTTGAATTTATAATGTAACAGTATTTTAGACCAATTTCCTTCTCCATATTTCTTCACTCCAGATTTCAGATTCATGTCTTCGTCCCAAAGCCAGGCCTTTTGACAAAAAACTAGAGCAGTTATTCACAGGAACAATTTTTTATTGAGATACAATTGACATAATACTATATTAATTTCAGATGTACATGATTCCATATTTATATATATTGTGAAGTGATCACTATGATAAGCCTTGTTAATCATCCATCAAAATTACATTGAAAGTAGAACAATTATTCACAGAAACAATTCTTTAAAGAACATACCTACTATAAATGCAACTGTTTCTTATTAGAGTAACATTATAGTTTCTTACAGACTGAAGAATTTCTGTATATATTTCTTAGATTTCTGTTAGATCTTATCATGATAAAAATTTTAAGGGTCCTTCCTATTGATACTCATTTTATATAAGCCCCCAAGATCAAACAGCTACACAGTAAGAGCTGAACACCAACCCAATTAGTCTGACTTTAAGCTCACACTGTTTCATGATGCTTTTTTACAATTGTTAGTAGATTGGTACTTATTAGTCCTACATATCTCTAAATAGAACTTATGAACATTTAACAATTCATTAATGAACTCAATGAAAATCCTGTGGTGGCTATTGTTGGGCAAAGTATACACAAAAATAAAACTCAACTCTTCTCTAATATAGGATACTGAAAACACAACACAAACTAATTAAAAATACACTATTTTATTTTTGGAGAAAATGACTGAAAACTTTAAAACATCAAATGCAGTATAATACACAGAAAAAGTTACTGATACTTGGTATATGCTACAGGTAACCAACCAAATGTTCCTTCTGCTCACATGCTGGAGCAAATGATCATCTGAGTGATTTTTCTGTATCTAGGCTATAATTAATTTCCCCAACTGACACATTTTCCTGGAAAAATCCATTCACCATCAGTCACAAAAAGACAAATGCTGTCATGATTCCACTTACATGAGGTATGTAGAACCATCAAACTCATAGAAACAAAGTAGAATGGTGGTTGCCAGAAGGTGGGGGAGGAGAAAATGGGAAAATGTTTAATGGGCACAGTTTCAGTTTTCCAAGATGAAAAAGTTCTGGACATTGGTTGCATAACAATGTGTACTTAATCCACTGAACTGTATGCTTAAAATTATTAAAATGATAATTTTATGTTATGTGTGTTTTACTAGGAAAAATAAAAAAATAAAAAAACAGTGAGCAAAGAATTTGAATTGACATTTCTCCAAATAAGATATACAAATGGTCAATAAGCACATGAAAAGATGCTCAACATCAACATCACTAATCATTAGGGAAATGCCAGTCACAACCACAAGGAGATTCGACCCCATATCTATTAGGATGTCTACTATCAAAAAATAGATAATGAATAAGTATTAGCAAGGATGTGCAGAAATTAGAACACTATTGGTGGGAATGAAATATTGGGTAGCTGCTATGGAAAGCAGAATGGTGGCTCCTCAAAAAAGTAAAATTATCACGTGATCCAGCAATTCTATCTGTGGGTACAAACCCAAAAGAATCAAAAGCAGGGACTTGAAAAAATTCTGTACATCCATGTAGAAACAGTCTTATCCACATTAACCAAAAGGGAAATAAACCAAGTATCCATCAGTGGATGAATGGATAAGCAAAATGTGGTACATGAATACTAAGGTATTATTCAGTTTTAAAAAGAAAGGAAATTCTGACATAAAAACATGGATGAACATTGAGGATATTATGCTAAGTGAAATAAGTCAAATACAGAGACAAACATTATCTACTTATATGAGGTACCTAAAAATAGTCAAATTCAGAGATAGGAAGTAGAATGGTGGTTACCAGAGGCTTAACAGGAAGGAGACTGAGGAGTTGTTTAAAGTACAGCTGAAAGGGCTCTGTGGATAGATAGTGGTAATGGTAGCATAACAATATGAATGTGTTTAATGCTACTGGACTGTATACTTTAAAATGGTTAAGATACTAAGTTTTATTATGTGCATTTTACTATAATTAAAGAAATCTCCATTTCAATCTTCATAACAAATGCACTGTTAAAAACAATTCAAGGTGGTCTCAAGAAGACAAACATGAGATGAAAACTATCTTGTGTGGTTCAATGCTATGAAACTGGCAGCGACCGTAATTAAGCCCCTGTGGGAGGCTAAGTTGCCTCCTGTCAGGAACTGTGTTGCCTACAAGTGCACAGCTACTCAATCTCTAGACAGAGACCGACACCCTCCTATGGCCTTCTAATGACCAACCCAGCCCACTTTCCTCACCAGTCACCACTTCTACAAAGCCTCACTACACTGGTGGTCACTGACACCAAACCAAAAGAAATGTAAATTCTGCATGTGGCAGGTAGGGAGTTTAAAGAGCAGGGATGATTAAAAGTACTTTAGCAGTGGGTTATTAATTACTCTTTGAGAATCACATCTTTTGAGAATGTGGTGAAAGCTATGGATCCACTTCACAGACAAGTGAAAGTATGTAAAATTGAAATGAAATTTCAGAGGCCACTTAGTGTCCCCCTTTAAAAAAACTATCGATTTTATGGTTCAGGATTTCTGTTTTGTTATAAGTTGTCCCAGGTTTATTCAGCTTTAAAAAGTAGTATTTGGTTTATGCAAATTTCACATACATACCACTGTTTCCCTGTTTTAATTTGAGCTATATTACTTTTAATAGAGAGCAAAGATGATACCTGATATAAAACCCAATTTTTCTCAAGAAATAACTAATATTCTCTTCTTGAATCCTAGCTAGGTTCCTGGGTACAGCAAATTTAAGCAGTATCTTCCAGTAGATCATAGACAGCAGGGGTTGGGTTGGCAAGCTACTGCCAAAATGCAGCCTCAGGCTGTTTGTACAGCCCAGGAGCTAACAATGGTTCTTACATTTTTAAAAGAAAAAGAAAACAATAATATGTGACAAACTATATATGATCCACAGAGGCTACAATATTTACTGCATGGCCCTTTACAGAAAGTTTGCTAACCTCTGACCTGGAAAAAAGTTATGATTTTGTCAGTAACCAGAAAACCACAGTGTCTATTATAAAGTATTGAATTTTTTCCTTCTATTGCAAAAGAGCAACTTTAACTTGATATATTGTTACTTAGTGATATACTATGCCTTACTTTGATCTGAATGTTTTCACAGTCTTTGCTTAATTTCATCTATGGTTTAAAGGTGAAAGAGTCTCAGAAAACATTCTATGGAGGTAGTCATATACAATTAATAACTACAATCTTTATAAGTTTAAAGAAGCCAACTTCTACTTTCTATAAACAGACTTTTAGGAGTGACAAAACTGGCTTATCATTGTCACATCAGAAAGAAAATATAAAGAAAACAAGTATAACAGTATAATTACTTAAGTCTACTCTCCCACTCTTTGTTTCTTCATTTTATACATTTGATTTACTGTACTATATTGCATTCATAATGACAGATAGCAAAGAATTAAAATGATATATTTTAAGACATAAAGAAAACCTATGTCCTTTGTGCTGTTCTCTTGTGTTTCATTCTTGAAAAATTAAAAACACAATCAATAAAACAATCATAACTGCAGCCATACCCAAAACTTAAAAAGATGCAAGGAGCACTTAATAAAAATGCACCAATATCCTACTTCCCCAAGGCTAAGAAGTTTATATAACTTATACTTGAAAATTAAGTATCATTTCTAATGCCTTTTAGAGAGAAAAAAAACAATGCTTTATAATGTCTTAAAATAATACCATTTATAGTTTAAAAAATACTGTTAACAGTAATTTCCATTATACACTATCAATGAAAAAAAAGTTTTTGTTGTTGAAAGGCATTTACTTTTCTTCTTGCATAGAATAAATGTAAAGAAGGGTCTTTAAATTGTGACAATAGAAGCAGAAATGCAGCAAGAAGAAACCGTCCAATCAGGTACAGGCTACAGCAATAAATATTTTTAAATAACCAAAATCTCAACACAAAGTAAGATTAAAAACTGTCACTCATCTTAAACAAATTGTCCCACCAAATACCCAACAGTGAAAAGCTAAAAATAAACCAGACCCAATAACCACAGAATTATTTTTTGGTTCAGTAAACAGTGATAGACAATAACATATATATTCTATTCTTTAAATTGCATAGTTGTTATCCTACATTTTCTTTTAAGTACCAAAAAAGAAGAGAGAAACTGTTTTCTTGATACATGACTAAACAATAATGTACAATCCCATTTGGAATTGTTGCCAGAAGAACTATAAGGAAAGCTTAATTAAATATATGAGGCATAGGCTTTCAGTTTTTAAGCCAACATATAAAGGGCTTGAAAATACACTTCAGTCCTCATAACAAGAAAAAGCTGAAAACTGAAAGCCACAACTCTTCTTAGATCCATCAGAGAATTAACATCACAGGGAAAACTGCTGCCCTGAGAACTAAAAAGACGTAAGGTAGATACAGGAAATCATAGCTTACTGGATGGAAGAAGCTCATAGCTGGAGCCAATACTAGTAGAAACATTTAACTGTGATGGACAAATTGACGGAGGTTCACTGGGGACAAGCTTGACTTAAAAACTCAAGGCACCCAATCTCAGAGGTCCACAAACTTTTCTGAGTTCCAATTCCATTAACAAAAGTCTGCCCTCAAGAGAAACCAATCTTGCCAGTGCCTAACTGACCTGTGGAAACTCCAACCCCTCTAGCATTCCTGTATCACCCAAGAGGGAGAAATAAAAGCTGAGAAGCATGTATAAAGCTCTTAGCACAGGACGTGGGCTCATTAAAAGAATGAGACACTCACAGAACAATAGAAGTGCTTTCTCTCCCCCTCCCCTAGATTACTACCACATTATTTGGATTCCTGTAAAACAAATTCCTCAGCTGAAAGAACTGCTTCAGACCCTTACTAAGAAGGAGTCTCTAGGGAAAACCAAAGACAAGGGAGGCAAAAACAAGGAAATTTTAGTCTCTGACACATACAACTATAACAAACAGTAAACAAAACCTAACACCTAGCCAGACAAAACCTGACACTAAAGGGCAATTTACCTCGGTTCCTTTTAAGTGATATATCTTGTCCAGCTATCAACAATGAATTTTAAGTTACAGCAAAAAGCAAAAATCACAATCTGTAGGGACAAACAGATCTGTAGGGACAAATAATTTGGAATTATCAGACCGGGAATTTAAAATAACTATGATCATATGCCAAGGGCTCTAATGGAAAGAATGGACAACATGTATAAACAGATGGCTAAGTATAAGCAGAGAGATGTAAACCCTAAGAAAGTATCAAGTGGAATTGCTATCAACAACACAGTAACAGAAAATGAAGAATGCCTTTGATGGGTACATCAACAGATTAGACATGGATGAAGACAGAATCAGTGAGCTTGAAGACATATTAATAGAAACATCAAACTGAAAAGCAAAGAGAAAAAGAATGAAAAAGAGAAAAGAATATTCAAGAACTGTGGGATAATCAACAAAAAGTGTGACATACACTAATGGGGCTCCAGAAAGAAGAAAGGAACAGAAGATCTGAAGTAGTTATGGCTGAGAATTTTGCAAAATTAATGACAGACACCAAAATAGATCCAAGAAGCCCAAAGAAACAAAGATAAACAACAAAAAATCTATATCTTGCTGCATCATATTCAAGCTCAAAAAAATCAAAGACAAAAAATATGTATGACTTTGGTGGCATATGGTGTCATAAGGTCAACATTTTCCCATTCTCCTTTGGGAATCCACCCAACAACAAGAAATAAAATCCCAAAACTCTGATAAAATTAGGAGACCCCTATGACCTAATGTAGTAAAGCTACATTATTGGTGGAAATTGACAAAAGGTATGTGAAGTAGGGCAAAGTCACTTGCCCCTCCAATCTCAGAAAGTCTGTGCTATACACATTTCCAAAGGAACACATCCTGAGGTGTACGCTCTAAATCCCTAGTTTGTAATAGCAGAAGCCTCCCTCAACTTCCACTAGTTCTAAAAGGTAGAGGCAGTAGGGCTAAATAAGGAATCACACAGGTAAGCAGTATTTGCAGGAAGTAAATCAAAAGCAAGAGTTCTTGCTGGGGAGAAGGCAAGGTCAAAATAAGCTTGCATCACAAAATCAGGCTGATATCCTTAGCAGCCTGCAACTTGATTGACCCTAGCCCCTACAGCTCCGCATGAACCACCAACAAATAGGTTATCAAGAAAAAACTCTTCTTAAAGGTGAGTAAGAAAAAAGTATAGGATCACCTTCCACTTACATCCACGACAGAACAAGGACCAGATTTTTCAACTATTATAAACAACTAGAAAACTAGATAAAATACAGTTAACAAAAGATTCAGGCATTGGACAGAAGGCATAGGATTACAGTCAGTGAGAGGGGAAACAAATGAAGATAGTACTAAAATCATCCTCTTAACTTTCTGAATAGAAAAATTCTGTATCAAATGGTATCTTTTTTTTTAAGCACAGAAGAACCTTATTTAAATTTGATCTCAATTAGGAAGATATGAATATAAACGCTAATATGCATATTTAGGTCCCACCTTATACATGAACAAGTGACTATAATAATATCAGTAATTCTAAATAAATAACATTACCAATGTGCAACCTAAGACTATTTTTTAAATGTAGGTGAAATATTTTCTTAGAACTCCGAACAGGCAGATTGGTTAATCTAAGATGGCAAAATTAAAGACATCAAATTAAATACTCAAAATTTTTTAGGGCTGAACAGACATAATGTGGAATAATCATAATTATTATTCAGGTTATGGCTTTAATGTCCATTAGGTATTACTGAAATAAAATAAACAAATACCTTTCTTTTTCTAGATCGGTATTTTGCAGGGGTTCCTGGCTGACTGTTTAAAACATGCATTCTCTGGCTTCTAATGGTTAGTCTACTGCTTCTCTTCTTTGTTTCACCTAAAAATAGAAATATCATCACCAAAAATTTTCACATTAAGAGAGGAATTATATTTTTAAAGGTTACTATGAAATTCCTATTTATTTTTTAGCTATTTTAAAGAAAAAACTTTATCTATCTGTTTAATTCTTTTCCCTTCAAATCTGGAAGCAGTATGGCACACTGCAAATACCAGTCTTTAAAATCACACACTTGCAGTGCTTTTGTGGTCACTAATGGACATACTCAGTGACAGAAAATTTGAGACACCTGACATGTACATTCCCAGCTGAGGTTAAGCAAGGTTAAGATCTGCCTCCTTGTTTTAGCTCTCATGTTAAAATAGTTGTGTTTTTTTAGAGTCTATTTTGTGCTGTATTTTTGTATTCTGTTGATTATTTCACAGTCTAAAATGGTTCCCAAATGTACTGTGGATGTGATGTATAGTGTTCCTTCGTGCAAGAAAGTTATGATGTTCCTTACAGAGAAAATAAGTGTTAGGTAAGCTTCATTCAGGCATGAGTTATAGTGCTGGTGGCCATGAGTTCAATGTTAATGAATCAACAATATTTATTAAATAAGGTGTCCTTAAATAGAAACACATAAAACAAGGTTATATACTTACCAGTTGACAAAACTCGTGACTGGCTCAGAGGAACCTATATTCCCCATAGTGGTTCAATATTCACTAATTTGGTGTTCATGGCAACTTTATAGAACATAACTACTGAGAGTAACAAGAATTAACTGTATTTATGTTTGACGTAACTATTTCAAGTTGCTGAATTAAAGTTAAAGTAGAAAAGCAGTACCATCATAGAAAAAGCATCTTATTTAAACAAGCAATTAGAATAGCTAACTTTTTTTTAAGCACCATCTCTAGTCAACTCTATTGAGTCATGACATTTGACCTCTTTGTGGTTCAGTTTCCTAAAGTGTGTGTTTGTGTGTGATGGTGGCAAAGTCAGAGGTTGGTTGGATTATTTTTGAGGACACATCAATTCTCTGCTTCTAACACTGTAATAAAAGTACTCACTTTGAAGAGTTTTCAGTCTTTCCTCCTTATTAAAATCTTCTTGTCGGCTTCCAAGTTTCAATATAGTTAAGAGATTCTTGTGACACCTAAATGAAACATGAAAGCTTATCACTCGCTCCACAAAGACTAGAAAAGCTATGGAAAAAGGCAGATGATTTGTTTGTTCTACTTTCTGCTCTAGAACCTTCTACTCTGGACTGTTTCCTTTGGTGCTTCCTTGCTTAGCACCCCATCTTAACTTTTAGCCTCTTAAGATTTTTGTCAGACTTCCCTCCACCATCACTTATTTTCTCCATCTCATCTACTCAGAAATCAAGGTTCTTTTTCCCTTCCAATGAGAGATCAAAAAAATATCCTCACACTATAAAATACTAACTTTCATTTTCTCCTATGGCTTGTAACTTTATTTACCAAAAGAGAAATCTTAGAATTCTTTCATACATGATGGCAGATATCACTTGATTATTATCCTTGTAGCTTCCAAATAGGGTTTTCTTTTTTGGAAAGGTAAGACTGTTTGTAAATACAGGATGTGGCAGAATTTTTGACCTCAGAAAGCTGGTAGTACTCCAATTCTATGAAGGAATAAACAAAGATGAAAAAATGTAGCTTACTTAAGCTTAGGCAGCTATTTTATCACAACCTAAAATCTATACCTATACCCTATTATACCTGCTAATCTTTTCTTTCCTTCCCCAAAATTTCTATTGCACTCTCTGGAATGCCATTCTCAACCTCTTTACCAGTTCCCCAACCTCTTTGCTTTGTCTAAAATCTAGCTCTCCCCTTGGGACAATATTTCTCTCCTTTGTAACCTTCTCAAGTAGAGACTGGCTTAATCTTTTAATTTTCATGAATCACACAGCACAAGAGGTAGGTCTCTATTTTCTTCATTTCCTAAAGAATGCCACTTCCAGGATTCTGTTTCCATAGCAACCTTAGCCCTTAAGGATTCACGCCACTGAGGTGTATCACCATCCACTGTTTCTCAGTCATTCACTCTCATTTCAAGTACTGCCTGTCATTCACAGATCTTTCTTCTACCCCAAGTGCTGCTTTTGTCATGAATTTCAGTGTTCCCATGGATAACCCATATAACATGCTGGCCTCTCAATTCTTCACTTCCAATGACCTCCTCCATGTGAAGTCAGCTACCCCATCCCATGGTTCCACTCAGCATGCCAATTGCTCTGTCTCTGAAATCATTCATGCAGACTTCCTACTTTCTGAAGATATGTATTGTTTATCACAACATTTCTAGTAGATTAAATACAGTTTTTCAAGTAATTTCATAAAATCAGAATTTGGGACATTCATTAGAAATGTAATCTGCATCCCCTTCCTACCCCAGCATATCCTTGTTTCTGTGACAGAATATGAGTTTACCAGACATCTGCTTTACATTGAAGTACACTGTTTATGTGTATCCCAATAATGGCCTTGTAGAAACAATGTGAAACAATCTAGCATCTCTATAGTTTGGAATTCAAGACATGTCAGTGTCTTGAATATCTGTTGAATAAGTAGGCCCCTGCAATAGTCTCTAAATCATACCATTTACATAGCAATTATTATAACATATCTAGGTCTACATGAGTTGCTTCAACCAAAAATTCTAAAGAGAAATAAGAAAAAACTCAATTTACTTCACCTCAGTAAGGATACTGTATCTCCTGAGGATTCAATTACCGTAGACTGTTTGTCACTAACACTTTAAAAGAAGAAAAAATTCGTAAGAATGTTAACAAAGCAAACTTTTCATAAGGATAGTAATTTCCACATAATCAAGTCATATTTCAATTTAGATGAAAGATCTTTGGAAAGAAACCCTGGGAACATTAGGACATATACAGTCCATTACAACATAGCTAATTTTTGCCCAGATATGATTACCAGAGATATTAAATCAAACTTCCCCAAATCGTATGTTAAGCATTATAATGTCACTCCTTAAAACTCTCCCATGGATCTTTATTTCCATTAATTCAAGTTTAATTTCTTGTCTTCCCACAAGTCTCTAACTGAACTTTAAAAACAATTCCTCTCCCCAACTAGTGTAGTTTTAAGTCCTTCAGCCCTTAAGTCTATCTATAAATTTTAACAATTATGTAATGTCTGCTACTATTTCTGTTTCATGTAATTCTTAATACCTCAAATAGTTTATATGCTTTATGAGAATAAAACATTTCATCTAGTAATGACAATAAAGGGTTTTATCTTTCTTAGTTATTTGTCTGACCTTGCAATCATACTCCTGATGCTACTATCCTTGCCTCTCTTGTGTCCTGCTCTCATGTCCTGATACTGGTGAGTTTGCTGTTTTATTTGCCCTGATTCTATTTGTTTCCAGGATGCCTTGGTATTTGCTTGATTTCTGATCTTTACTTTTGTCTCTCGTTTTGGTTTTGTACTGTGCCTAGTGCACTGCAAGTTCTAACATATGCCTGGTAATGAACAACGATACAAGGCTATTTAAGAACCTTCAAGGAATTCTTCACCTAGTAAGAAATACAGACAGGTAAGCAAATGTGTTACTATCCAAGGTGAGTCCTTTTATAGATGTGACTCAGTGCTGTGGGAGAAGAGACGTGACATCTCTGATCACAGAGCAAGACATCTTACAGGTGATCTTTGAGCTAGATCTTGAATGACAAGAAGAGATTGTCTTGAAGAGAACAGACGGGGATTTAAATTGAAGCAAAGGTCAAGGAATCAAGGAGCTTGTGATATTTGAAGATCGGGAAAAGTTCTGTGTTGCTAAAAAGTACCATGTATGTGGGCAGGAGTGGCTAAGAGATGAGGTTGTACATGAAAACAGTAACAAACACAAAAAACACAAAGGGGCTATATAAGGCTTTGTGAGCCATGCCAATGATGTCTAACTCATCTAGTACAAAACACCCAACAGAGGTTATTAAGCTGGTAAATTATTTAAACCAATTTATCTTTATGGGAAGCTAACTCTAGAAGTCACATTAAGGGTGGAACTGTAATCTAGTACAAAGCTAAGTAATAATCTAGGATATAAATGATAAGAATGGATTATTAGAGGCATTTCTGAGATGAGATTCATAACACTGGAGAAAACTGGTTATGTCAGAAGAATAAGTATTAGGACAGACAGAAGGGAACATCAGGAGTTGTTTTACACATACTGATTAAAATGTGTATAGGAAGGTATCTGAAATAAGTGGGTAGTACTATATAAGGAGACTACACAGGAAATGTACTCATTATCTCCAGGAATCATGGTAAGTTTTAATTTTATTTTAAAGCAGTATTACACTGGACAGGAAGGCTGGGCCACAAGAACATACTGGGGGGTCATAGTATTACTAAATTATGATTTCCAGACAAAATGACATAACTGAGCCAATAAAAGTGTAGTCTCTACTTCTCAAAATGGGTCTTAGAAAAAAGTAAGTCAATGCAAAATAAGTTAATAGAGCTTCTGGGGAGATAACCAATGAGGAGCAGTCATGCTCTAGTAGGCTGAGACAGTAGTAGAGATAGTAAGAATAAGCTCAGTCCTGAGTAGACCAAGGTTATGTCCATCCAAGCTGGGACCCAATCTCCACCTCTAAGTAGCTAAGATGGGGAACCTGCAGCACTCAAGTCATGGTCTCAAGGAAAAGAAAGTAACATTACATCCATTGCCAAATACATCCATCCACAGACCACAAGGATTTGACTACCTGGCCTTGGGTCAAGGGTAGAAGTACAGAGGGAACGGACAATGGGTTCAACAGAAAAGATCTTTATATGGTAGAGTTTATCTTCTTCAAAAGGGTTAGCTTTCCTAAAGCTAAAGCAAAAGGTAAAAATCAATTCTGCAAAAATAACTCTGGAAAATCCCTAAGAAGAAATTATTTGGGGGATAGAATTCTTCTCTCTCAATACAGTAGTCCTCCCATATCCATGGTTTCACTTCCCATGGTTTAAGTTTCCTGCAGTCAGCCAAGGTCTGGAAGTAGATGATCCTCTTTCTAAAGTATGGCCAGAAGGTCAACAGTAGCCTAACATTGCATCACAATGCCTGTCATTCACATCACTTCATTTCATCATGCAGGCATTTTTATTACCTCACATCTTAATAAGAAGGGTGAGTATAGTACAATAAGGTGTTTTAAGTGGAAGAGACCACATTCACATAACTTGTATCACAGTAAATCGTAATTGTTCTTTATTAGTTACTGTGTTAATCTCTTACTATGCCTATCTGATAAATTAAACTTCATCATAGATATGCATGTACAGAAGAAAAACAGCACATATAGGTCTGCAGTTTCAGGCATCCACTACTGTGTGTGGGACAGACACAGCCTGTTTTCCTACAGCAGTGGAGCAAATCACTACTTCTTCAGCTGAGCCCCAGATGAAATGGTTAGCTTACCCTTAGAGAAGATATATGAATCTTAAAATACTAGAATAACCTCGATATAGTAAAATAAAGCAGTCACATAATGAGGGCATATGGGATCTGAGAACTAAGGAGCACAGATGATTCAGGTTTCCAACCTCAACTATTCCAGACCATGTATTCTCTGAGAATGGTAAACGATAGTACTCACAGGATTTAAACTATACTTTTATCTTACTCTCTATTTTACTATTTTAGCTTAGTATTATCTAAAAGAACTTGCATATGCCTTGAGATAACTCTACAGTACTCCAAATATCCAAATGTTAATCAGTAAAACAATGCACCCATTATTCAATAATTACTTTTATTAATAAATGGCTCAATAGCATCACTTTTACATAGATATTACGTCCATAAGACAAAAAATATATTAACGAAGTTACAAACCTTTTTCCTACATCCAAATTAGCTTCAGTTCCCATTTCACTATCATTACTATCAGGTTTATCTTGAGAAGCTGTTCTTTCTCTTTTACTTTCCACTACTTTTGCTGCTGCCTTTAAAAAAAGAGGTTATGGGAGAGGAAGGAAAGCATTTAGCCACTTTAAACAAACAGCATTAAATTAAATCTTCTGTAATGGGGGGAGTCTAGTAACCATAATGTTGCTCATGTAATTGTACATTAATGATACAAAAAAAAATTAAATCTTCTGATTTTTTCATAGTCATAACCAAAATATCTGTTCATAGGCCAATAAAGAGCACTAACTATGACATCAGCAGCAGCTACTTCAACTACCTGCTTGATTTATCAGCATTATGCAGGTCTTTCTTTGTAAATACATTTGATACACACAACACTCTCTAAGCAATTTTAAGATAAAAGATTACTTAAAAAAGAAAAATCAATAAAAATTCCAAATATTAAAAAAATATAACTACCTCAAATCAATCAATGCTCCACTGTAACATATTAAAACTTTTTAAGGCCAAGACAGAGGATGTTACAAAAAAAATTTTTTTAATGCCTTTCTTCATCCAATTTTGCTTTCTCTAAAAAATATGCTAAAAATTCCTTTAAAATTTAATTAAAGCCAAATATTTTTTGCTTATTTCTTACTTTAGTAAGTTTTCCCCTCAACTTTTCATTTTGAAAAATTGTAGAAATACTACAATATCACAATAAATCCTTTAGGTTCGCCAATTCTAACATTTTGCTACATTCTTCTGCAAAATCACTAAATAAAACTCTCAAGTTTTCAAGAATTTCTATTTCAAGTAGTCTCCTCTATTAAATTAGCAATTTCTCTTAAGTCTATTGTTAAGAGTATCTCTGAAATAGCATACCTTCATTAGAAAGGCTGACGATTTTTCACTTAGCACATAATTCACATAACTCTTAATTTTCTCCATCATGTGGTTGTAGCTGAAGTGTTGAAAAATGGAATGGAATGTATCTTTCTGAGATATTATCATACACAACTTCCTTTTTAAAGGCTAAGGAAAAAAAAGAAATGTATTAATAAATAAATCACAAATAAGATACTAGAAATAGTGTCATATTTAATGACTGAAAAAAAACTTTATGAATATAAATTCAGAGACACAATGAAGAGGTTTAAAAAATTCTTGTTTTAAGTGGCTCACCAATGTACTTTATCTGACTTAAGAAAATATTCTATTTCACACATATATAAAAGCATTTTTAAAAATTAATCTGAATGTCCATTACATTTAAGAAATACCAAATTAAGAAATACAATTAATAAATAAAGAAACATGTTTATTACCATAATCTGACTGCACCACCCAGCCTTCCCTCTCAAGTAAGCATTACCCTAAATTTAGAATTTACCATACGCTTGCATTCCTTTACATCTGCAATACATTATGTATAATCCATAGACAATAGACAGTATCGTTTAGCATGGTTTTAACTTTATACAAATGGTGTTATACTAGTGTATTCTTCTGAGGTTTGCTACTTTTTGTTTAACTGGTTATGACATCTGTCCAAGTTGATTTGATTGACATTTGTAGAAGTAGTTACTCACTGTTGTCAAGTATTCCACTGATACACATTCTTTCAGCCTATTGAAAGCATTTAAGCAATTTCCTATTACTGTAAAGCTGTTAAACATCCTTCCACATAGCTTCTTGTGCACACCGTAATTTTTGGACAATAGTTCTTTCAATATTGGTTGTACAATAAAAGCTAGAGTTTAAAACAATTCTACCTCTTAGGTTTCTATGCCAGACCAATTGTCTCAGTAGGGCTGGTTTTTGTTTTGTTTTGTAACATAACTACCTTGGAAGATTGACACTAATTCCTATACGGAATATGTGTATATCCTATAACCCATCAATTCTATTTCCAAGTATATAGCCAATAGAAGCATATGTATTTGTTCTACAAAAGACATGTAAAGGAATGAAATAGCCAAAAACTGGAAATAACTCAAATGCCATCAATAGCAGAATGAGTAAGTTGTAGATATTCCTACAATGTAACAATGAGAATGAACAAACTACTGCCACAAATTACAACTTAGATCTTACAAATATAAAATTACTATCTGATTCTATTATATACAGTATAGAAACAAGTAAAATTAATCTTGAATGATGCAAGTCAGGATAGGGGTTACCCCTGAGAAGGTGGAAGGGATGGTTCTGATTCCTGACCTAGGGGCTCATCACTTAAGCGCATTCCTTTTGTGAAAACACATCTACTTATAAACTTAAGATATGTGTTCTCTACTAGTGGTATGTTCTTGTTCGATTAAAAGTTCATTAGAAAATGTATAAAACTACCTTTCATTTCTTGACTAAGCCTAATTTACTCCAATAACACTAGTAACAACCACATATGAAGCCTCTAGAAAAATAAGCACGTCATAATGCCTTCTATACCTGTGCTCCCCAATATGGTGAACAGTAGCCACACGTGGCTACTAAGCCCCTGAAATGTGTAACCCCTGAATTTAGAAAGAAGTGTAAAACAAACACCAGATTTCAAAGACTTAGTACAAAAAAAGAGAGCAAAATGTCTCAATACTTTTTACATTAAATGTTAATTATGTTTTTGTATATATTGGATTAAATATAATGTTATTAAAAATGGTTCCACTTGCTTCTTTTTACTTTTTCAATGTGGTAAATTTAAAATCATACATGAATGGCATTATATTTCCATTGGACAGCACTGGTCTTTACTGTTTAAAATATAAAGCATTCCTTTTCTCCTCCAATGCTCTTTCAATTTTCCCTAGTTCATAAAACAGTTCTAAAATTCTCATCTAATTCAAACAATTACCATGTAAGAATTTGAGTCACCAAATATTCTTTCAAAAACTTCTCCTGCTTCCTTAAAATGACCATTTTCCACACAAACAGCAATAGCCTGAAAGACAGGATGACAAATACATACTTCAGATTGCTTTAAAATATCTGATTGTTACTTAATATCAAAATAACTCAGGTAAATCCAAACTATTTAAAACAGGTAGTTTAAATAATTTTGACTTGATAAATGATATAAGTACTTTTTTGGAGATGAAATAACTGTGATTTGAAAAGATATGAAGAATTTTCAGTGGTCCCTTACATATTTACTAATAAATGCCCAGCATTCTATCTCTTTCTAATTTATGCCAAAGTAAAGACCGGCATTTTTAAGTAAATTAAAAGCTACATTATGTACATTTAGGATCCACCTAAATACTAATTTTGAGCAAAAGAGAAATGAGAGAGGAGGTAGATGGTGTTTGTAATGATAAGGATAAACAAATAAAAATCCTAGTTAGGATCCCTGGATAATTTCCAATAGCAACCCAGGAAGCCAGATGCTTGTGAACATTTTATAAACTGACCTTTTTGATACCATCTGGGTAGCTTTGTAAGCCTGGGCAAGCTATTTTAACCTCTTGGTGTGATGTGTTGTTGTAAGGATTAGAGTTATATTATGAAAGTGTTTAGAATAGTTTCTGACCAATAATAAGTCATTTATTATGTTTGCTATGAATTTTACAGTAACTCACTATATACTAGTATATTAACAAAGGCTTGCTTCCTCTAGAGCCCCAAAAGATTTGTGGTAACATGACAGATCTCTTTGCCCTGGGCTAAAACTCTTAAAAGAAGTTTTTTCCCCATTCTCTTCAGGTCTTAATTCTACTTGACAGTCACTACACTATCAATAATTAATTCTTAGAAATGTGGGATACCACTGAATTTTCTCTCCTATTCAACTGTAAGATACTTTTTTAAATGAGGAAAAGTTTATTTAATTAAGAAAATCCCTAGTATTTGCTTTGCCTATTAGCAAAACATACCTACCTTGCTATTACATCTTTGTAAAACTTCTTGGCTTCTCATTGTTTGATAGGGGTACTCCTAAAATTGTCCATATTAAAATCTCACATTCTCTTAATCACAAATATCCATTAATTTCTTGTCAAATATTCTATGTTTTTCATATTTATAATCTTTAAACAGGAACAGGGAGAGCACAAAACCACTGGTTTTTGAAAGGTGCTTGGTGATCTTTCAATAGATATGACATACTTTCCAAACTGGGGAGAATATACACTTTGGTAGCAAACATTAAGTCCTAGCTGTTAGAGCTCATGTCAAAACTATAAACCCAAGGTCAAATTTCTAAATAGAATGATTATATTAAATTTATTCTGGGTTTACTGCCCAACTTCTATTAGGTGGCTCATCATTTCTTTATATATTATGTTTTTACTTTCTAGAAAAATAATAATCACAAATACAAAGTAAAACTTATACCTGAATTTTAATTAAATTCTGTATTTCTTCATGAAGTTTATCATGTTCCTTTTCTACTGAAGCCCAAATCATCAGGGCTGATTCCAAGGGTGTAATTCGTTCATCACTTTCAAACTGTGCATCTTTTAAAACCAGAACAAAAAGAATTAATTTGGGAGGCTAAAGTAGAATGTGACTATGTCAATTTTTATAAATTCATTTCTTTAAATATTTAGAGCATATACTATGTGCTAAGCACTGCTCTTGTACATACCTGTTTAGGGAAGTGATCTGATTTTTTTAGTTCATTTCCTCATTAAAATCAACTTTCAAAATGTAAAATGCTGAATGAGTTTACAAAATATTTGAAGCTTTATTGATTTTAATAAACAACTATATTTTACATAAAGTGTCATAGTAACAGATTCTTAAATGGTCTCAAGTTGAATTATAATATAACAAACTGAGATATAGTATGAAACTGTTTTATTTTGAAATTTGATGTGAACATATACTACTTAAATTCGGGTTAAACATTTCTTGGACTTTGAAACAGGAGCTTTCAAAAAGTTATTTCTCTACCAACATTCTTCCAATCACCAAGGCTTAAAATCTAAGGAGTAACTGTTTTACTCCTTCCTTTCTCATCACCATATCCACAATCTGTTGCAATATACTGTACAGTTGTTTAAATAATGTGACTTTGGAGTTTACTCCAGACTATCATGTGCTATCTGTGTGGTGTTGAAAAAGGCATTTCACTTTTCTAAACTTTAGTTTTCTCACCTAAAAAATGGTGAAAATAAACAGTATCTCAGAGGATTTACATGAATAATTAATGAGATACTGTTTCTACTTTAAAACAGAATTTTAATCAGGTTATTCTGATCAAAGACTCACAGTGGCTGGTAACTACTTATCAAATTATACACAAATATCTGTCAGATATTCAGAACCTTCACTACATGTCTTGTACCTATAAATCTGTAATTTGTATGTTGAATAAATATTGAACATCACTAAAAACTAAGAATATCTTAGTGAATAAGGCAAAGTCCCTGTTCACATCATGCTCACAATGCTAATAGGAGAGAGAGGTAATAAACAAAGTAACAAATAATTTTATTTCAGAATAGTAAGAGCTATAAAGAAGAAAAAGAGGACTAGGAATTGAGAATATTGGGGGAAGGGAAGCCCCTTTCAGATAGGGTATTTAGGAAAGGCCTCCTGAGTGACAGTGGAACAAAGATCAGCTTAATGTGAAGCAGAAGCAGCAATCACACAAAGATATAGAGGAAACATATTCGAGAAGGAACAGCAAGTAAAAAGGTGCTGAGTAGCAGTTTGGTGCTCATAAGTGAAAAAGGAGGTCGGCCTGCCAGAGCAGTGGGCAAGTGGGATGCATGCCATCAGAGATGATGGAGGAAGGAAGTAAATGTCTGATTTGGAATTCATTTTGAAAGTAGAATGAACAGGACTTGCTAGTAGATTGGATGTGGAATGTGAGGAAAAATGAAGGACTCTCAGATTGTAGCAACTGGATAAATGGTGCTGCCTTTTACTGACATAAGGAAGCCTGGGTGAAGAGCAAGTTTTGGGAGTTAAGCATGGAAATCAAGAGTTCCACTAATCCAGGTAAACTATAGGTTATTCTCCAAACTCTATTGTTTTTCTTTCGTCTAGAATACCATTTTCACATTCTCCTTCTAATGAAAACCATCAATCCTTCTAGGTATCCAATACATAACTCTAAAATGTTTTAAATGTTAACTTTTAAATGCCACTTCACTTAAGTCCATGATGGTGAAATGATTCTTGATAACTGACCCTAGCCTATTAAAGCTAAGATATACCCAAGGGGGATGATGGTAAATTTCAAAATTGAACTATGGAGTCACACATAGAATCCGGATTTTTTTTCCTATCCTTTTTTAGAAGGAGAGGTTTCGGGGGGAAAAACTAAAATATACTGAACAACTGCTAATGTGAAGCACAACTGGGCACTTTAGTACATTTAATTTACAAAACAGCTCTATTAACAACCAATATGTCTATGGTCATCACGGTCAGGAAGCCTCCAACTGGGTCCACATTGGCTCACTTTCTTCTTCAGCAAAAGGCCCAAACCTACCTACAGATCTGTCTCCCCCATATCTGCTCTGTCTCTAGTCCTATTCACTTATGATTGTGGGACCAGATCCAGACCTAACCTCATCCCCAACACAAAGCATGTGACGTAAGCCAGAGCTAGATTTGCGAGGGCCATGAGAGGGCTACTGGTAAGATACACTGGGATCTTATATAATACAACATGATTATAAGGAAGCAGTTTCACATAAGTACTGCCTACCACTGGGGGACTGCTGGGAAGGCATTCGTAAATTGTAAAAAACAATAGGAATATGTAATTATTCACATCAAAAGGTCCTTTAAATGACTGTGTTGTAAATATCAGGCATTACTGAAAAAATGAATGAGGCTTGCCCATTACAATCTAAAATGAACTATGGGAACACAGAGGAGAGATACTATAGCTATATATATCTCTTTTACATATATGTTGAGATCAAGTTCAAGAGGTTTCAAAAATCATAGCTGCCAGTAAAAGAGAGTGTGTATGACAGTAAGAGTCAACACTGTTACAAATTTAAAGTAAGATCTTCAGGATAAGAGTCCATGAAGCATGGTTCCCCAACACTGCCCTCAGTATCACCTGGCGACTTAGAAATACAAACTCCAGGGCTCCTCATCCAGCCTATAGTATCAGAAACTCATATGGGCAAGGGGACTCAGCACGTTTTTGAGTTCTCTAATAATTCCGAATTAGGCTAAAGTTTGAGAAGCACTGCTCTAAGAAGATAGGGACTATATTTTACTCTAGTTTTGCCTGTGTGTAGATGTATATGCAAGTACATGTGGGAAAACTTGCAAAAACAACAGTTCTCATCTGTTTCTTCTCATTATCTTACCTTTAGACATAGATTAGAGTATTTCCAATATAAAAACGCATATTTACCAAGGCTTTTTCCTTCTGCAATCCTTGACAAAAACTGACATATGTATACAGTTCTCAACTGATAAGCTGTTAGACTGGACAGTCCATGAATAATAGCTGAAAAAGAAAATGTGAATTTTATTAAGACATTGATAAAACAAACAAACCAGACTTGACCCAGCAGTGCCTCTGTAACAGGTTACAAACATCACACACAAAGGTTACCATAAATTTAGGCTTGTATACTTTTTTATAGACAAATTTTTAAAAATCAGAAAAAATAGTAATGAAACTTTTCTTGCAAAATAAAGCTGATATTTCACATGTACAGTAAATATTTAAAAATACTTTTACAGGTAGCACTCTATATTAATGAAAAGGGAGATTTAGATCCAAACTGTAAAATGTGTCAGAGCATTAGTTGGAAGCTTATTTTATACCTAAAAGCTCCTATTATAAGGAACATTTTATTTCTGTCAAGGTTTCAGTTATGTGAGTCTGCTCAGTTTACAAAGCTTGATTTTTAAAACATAATATTACTATAATAATCTACTAATATCAATCTCCCAAATATCTGAATACCCACCCAGATGTTATGTTAGACAATAAATACATACAATGGTGAGTAAACCATAATCCTGGACCTTAGAGAGTTTATTACTATGTAGCAATGAAAGACTAATGACTGAACAACTGAAGTAAAAGTGTGGAGAAAGCAGAAAGAGAAGAGCAGAATGCTACGAGAGCAAATAATGCAGAAATCTTCCAGGGCGTTTTAGCAGACAGTTGGAGAAGGAGCTATCAAGGCAGACATCTCTGAGGAAATAATGTTTGGGTACCACTAAAGGTGCCACTGTTAGCATTATACTTCACCTAGGGTTTGACTAATGTATATAAAAAGGTGAAATTAACTAGCAAACCAAAAAGCTGTCCTGCAGCCACCAAACAGAAAGGACAAATAAATACATTTGTGTTTACTTCCTCAATTCTAAAACAGCATAATTTTATGCTATACTACAGATTATCTGGACCAAATACAGCCATAATAATAATTAAAAAGGATTCAAAGAACACAAAATATATATAAAATTTAAACACAATTCATTCAATATTTACCGAACATCTGCTGCTAGCCCATGTTAGGAATGGGCTGATGACTAAATGCTAAGACAGAGTCCCTGCCCCTCATGAAGGTTTTAGTCTAAGAAACAAAAAGTTATTTGCAAGTGACTAATAAAAATTTTAAGGAGTGCCACAAGGGTAATTATGGTAGAAGAGCAAAACAAAAGAGACCTAATCTATTCTAGGGAAAAGTCAGACCCCACTTACTTTCCTCCCTACTCAATGTAGTCTATCATGCAATAACTACAGATTCCCTACACATCACTTCCCTGCTAGGCAAACAAAACAAAAAACCTACCTTGGTTGAACCTGCTTTTTCCATACCTGTAACCAAACCACTGCTGACCGAAAAACACATTAGGGAGGATCTAATGACTAGGTACAACAGCAACTATATTCAAGCACTTACTCTAATACCAGGCTCTACTCCAGGCATTTTATACCAGTGGTTTTTACAGGAGTGATTTTGTCCCCTTGGAGATACTTGACAATATCTGGAGACATTTTTGATTGCCATGAGAGGGGGTGCTACTGGCACCCAGTGGTTGAGGTCAGCGAGCGATGCTGCTAAACATCGTGCCAGGCACAGGAGAACCCCAGTCCCACCCCTTCCACCCTCCTGCAATTACAAAACAAAGAATTATGTGGTGCAAAATGGCAACAGTGCAGAGGTTGAGAAGCCTTGCTTTACACATACTAGTTCGTGTGCTTTTCTCAACAGCCCTATGAGGTAGATATTATTATCACCATTTTATAGATGAGGAAATTGAGGTACCAAGAGAGTAAGTAACCTGCTTTCAGTCTCACAGCTATAAAGTAGCCGAGCCAGGAATCAAACTCAATTTACTCTGGAACCCATGCTCTTAATTACTATCCTACACTACTTACCATGAGAACAACGAGTTGGAGTGAAAAAACAGAATTTTCTAGAAAGCACGGAGTTGTATATTTTTACAATTTTTAAAAGTGTAGTAAATGAAATTCTATAAAGACAAAAGAGAATCCTCAGTCAAAAATAGGAATACAGAGACAACACTATGTTCACAATTAGTAGCACAACTTGAAAAATAGTTTATTCTCTCTGGGTTTCTGTGCCCCTAACCTTAAAACAGTGGCCTAGATTATTGCTCAGGTCTTGAGCTAGAACTTGAAAGGGGTCTTTGTTTTTTTTTTAATTAGACTTTATTTTTAGAATGGTTTTAAATGCAGGGAATTGCTGTGAAGACAGTAGATGTCCCATATACCCTCAACCCAATTTCTCCAATTAACATCTTACATTAATATGATATGCTAGTAAACCAACATTGATACATTATTAACTAAAACCCATGCTTTATTCAGAATTCCTTAGTTTTGAGTTAATGTCCTTTTTCTGCTGCAGGATCCCATCCAGGGTACCACATTAAACTTAACTCATGTCTCTTTAGATATCTCTTGGCTGTAAGTTTTTCAAATTTTCCTTGGTTTTGATAACTTTGTCAGTTTTGAGGTATTTTGTACAATATACCTCTATTGGGATGTGTCTGATGTTTTTCTCATTAATAGACTGGAGTTCTGGGGTTTGGGGAGAAAGATTTACAGAGGTAAAGTTCCATTTTCATCACGTCTTATCAAGTACCAACTATCACTGTTAACATTGACCTTGATTAGTTGAGGTAGTGTTTGTCAGGTTTCTCAATGCAAAGTCACCCCTCCACCGCCTTTCCAGACTGTACTTTTCAGAAGGAAGTCACTATGTGCAGCCCACACTTAAGAAGTAGAGTGTTATGCTCTACCTCCTTGGGAAGAGTAGCTAGATAAATTACTTGGAATTCTGCATGAGAGATGGTCTCTTCTCCCATTTGTTTATTTATTCCATCATTTATTTACATCAGTATGACTAATGGATATTTTATACTCTGGGTTATAATCCAATACTACTTTATTTTCTTGCTTGTGTTGTTTCAGCTTTGACCATTGCAGGCTTTTGTAATTGGCTCCTGTGACCCACTGCATCCCCACCACTGTGGGAATATTTTGTTTTGCTTTGTTTTTAACACTTTCTTACTTTCTTGCACATGAGCTCCAAGTTTGTCTTGTGTACTCCTGTCCAGTCCTGGAATAAGGCCATTTCTCCAAGAGAGAACCATTTCTCTGGTTCTCTTTATTGAGAATGGCATTATAGACCAAGACTAGTGCTAGGTACTCATTGCTACTAGGGTTATATTGCTTCTATGCTCTTTCATCTAACAGAACAAGGATATATATGAATATATACTAACCTGTGTCTATATATGTATAGAAATATGCACATATATTTCATTGTAACCACCTATACCTACATTAAGCTAAATGGGAGCTCACGCTTATGTTTTCAACTCAAACTCTTTAGCACATAGATAGTTCTAGCCTCCTCCCCAATAAGGACTTTTTAGTGATTCTAATTATGATGAACTGGCTTCACTTCAGGATTTAACTTTCTAATTAATGTCAGTTAACCATGGTTCTAGTGTTATTTGTGATAAAGTTAGAGAAAAAGTTCTCAAACTGGAAGATCCTAAGGTATGGGTCTGGAACACTCCTTTTAACCTATCAGTACTTCAGGTTGCTTTAACTACTTCACTCTTCCATCAACTAAGGTTATTTGCCTATCTCATGGGACATTAAGATGAAACGTGTTAGTGAGGTTTTTTGAAGAACTTAATTTTCTATTAAACATCTTGGAGTTGCATTCATCTGCAGTAAGCTGAGTGCTAACTCTGAAATAAATACCAGAGCATCTTTCTGTCACTCAAAAAGCTAGGCTGGTCTTCTCTATAGGTCTGTGTCTCTGCCCATCACTTACAGACTGTCTTGTCTATAGGCAGATTTCACTAACAGCTACCTTTATTCTACAGCAATAACTTTATTACTTTTATCTTATACTGAGCAAACAGGCCAAATGAGGTCTAAATGTCTCACAAATTCATAGAGAAAAAGTAATGGCTAGGTCACTTGGAGACTACAGTGACGGCCAAATAAATGCCATCACAAGAATATCTCAGTCGAAAGACACGATAGAAGCCTCAAGGAGACAAAACTGGACACTGGGTTAGGTTCAATTTTGCACATTTTACCTCATTTCCGAAGGGAAAAACTGACACTCTGAGAAAAACTGAGTAGTTGGTAATGGACGGATACGGGGCTTGCACCAACTCAGAGCCTCGGTCCCTCCACTCTCCGCCGCAGCGGCCCCTGTCCCCGGGTCCCTCCGACATCCCGCCCCGCGGCGCGCCGCCGCCGCAGCTAAGAGCAGCCCCGGGCCGTGCGCGCCCAGCACTCACCCTCAGCGCTGTCGCGGGTCCGGTGGAAGTCGTCGGAGCGGCCATCGCGGAAGGCCCGGCAAAGAGAAAGGCAGAGGAAGTCCAGCATCCAGCCGGTGGCCACTGCCTCGGCCTCGGTCACCAGGTCCGCATCCTCCTCTTCCTCGGGAGGCCCCACCTGCACCTGGCACTCGAGCAGCTGCTGGCACTCAAACTGCTCCTGATTCTCTCTCGCCATTTCCGCCGTGCACTTCTCCGGAGGCTCGGCATCCTGCTCGTCTGCCCGCCCTCGCGAGCTTGGAGACCCTGAGGGAGAGACCTCCGCCATGTTTAACTGCTTGCGGACGTCTGTGCTACTAGACGCCGAGCGACGAATGGCTCACCCTGAGGGGGCGGGGCCCCACTAAAGTGCTCTTCCGTCAGCGGGAAACGACCAATCACACCGCCACGATGGGCCAGCGGCTAGAGCGTGGCTTGTGATTGGCGGAAACCTGCTCCCGCTTCTGGACGTTGAATTCCCCGCCACAGGAGCGCCCGGTTTTGTTTCCGAACTGGGCAACTCCAGTCTGAGCAGGGACAGAAATTAAGAGGTGAGGAGGCTGTTTAATTCTCTTGCTCACATGAAACATTGATTAGAACAATGACACGGTTAGGTAAAATATAGAAAAGACTACCCCAGGCTTACTTCAAAAAAATTTAGGGAATAGAATCTGTCAGCATTATTCAAGCCTTAATACTTTGGACCCTAGCATTCACCTAACACACTTACTACACGACGATAAACCACAGCTGTCCCAGTGAACTTAGATCCGTGCCCCTCCAGCCGTAACGACAGCCGGCTAGTTAAAACAACGTTCTGGTCTCCACCCCCAGACCTTTTTGCTCTGTAGGTCTGGATTCTTGAGTTTGCTAGTCTAACAAGTTCCTAGGTGATGCTGAGGCTGCTTCTTTGGGGACCACATATGGAGAATCACTGATGCAGAAAATATCAATTAATTATCATTGACAATGATAATTAACTGTGGAAATTAACTTCAATCAGTCTGAAAGAGACTGTAGAATGCAGCCTGTATAATAATAAGTGAATGCATATTTTGAACTTTGAAACTTATTTTAGAGCACAAAAGGGGATTGTGGGCAAGGGGTCGGGGTGGGGGGGCCTGCTTATGTTCTGTTTCTCTATGTGAGTGATAGTTACATCAGTGTATTCACTTTATGAAAATTCATTGAATATGATTTATATACTTTTCAATAAGTGATAATTGAATAATTATAACTGAATGAAAATTTACTTTAAAAACCTTCTGCTTATAACATCCAACATTATAAAAGCCTTTATGTGTTTTAATTTTCCACAGAATGACTGCCTTAAGGCAGTGGTTTAAATGTTGCATCATTAAAGCACTGTATTAGAGCCATTAAGAATGTTTAGGTTGGAATTTCCCCTACCAGTTACCTGATAGCTGTGTGACCTTGGATAAATTATGCCTTTTTCTACTTAATGGGCATAATAATAATAATAGCCTCATCATAGATGTGTAGAAAGATTAAGGGCTTGGTAAATGTAAAGAGTTTAGAAATGGAAGGCCGTTATATAGTAAGTGCTCAACTAATATTAGTTGGAAAAGCATGACATTCATGCTACCTGAAAGAGGATGATGAGTCAGAAGGGATTGCTTCTTCGGTTCTAATGGCCCCATGAAAAGTAAGTACTAATTGCAAATAATACAGGGAAATAGGACTCTAGGAAATAGGGGCTAAGGTACATTTTGAACATAGAAAACACACCTCAGGTTTCCAAACTGAAACTTTTTTTGTTTTTCAAGGCTCTCACATAGGATCTGCTTCTTCTTCCCTTTCTCCAGCCCTCTTTCTCCCCTTTCCAGCAGAGAGTTAAGGTTATTCTTAGGTATATCAGCTAATATATTCTAAGCCACAAACTAAACAGCATGTTTTTGTGTGACATCTACTTCCTCAAGAAACATTCCTTGAATTTAAAGCAATGAGGTAGAATGAAGTATGTATATTTTTTATTAGGATTTAATCATAATCACCAATGAAGTTTTAGTCTGGGGCTGCTTCCAGCTACATAGTGTACTCCCTATCCTTCCCTTATTGGTATTACATTGAAGAAAAATTAAGAAGAACTGACCTAAGAGGGTGTGTCAAAAAGTGATTTTAAAATCCTATCCCAAGGAAAAGTCAAGAATATAGTGTTACTTGATTGGGGGCCTGAAACAGGCCTGGAAGAGGAGTTCTCTCATAAAGGAAAAAAGTTAATTTTTAGACCTGCCCGTTAGCATGGATAGTAGATTTATTGTTCTGAAATAATACTCTGACATCAATATGATCTGAGAACTCAAATATGATAAATGTATAACTACAATAAAACTTCTCATACTTAAAGTCCCAATAACACTTTAGCCATATATATTTTAACTTAATGATATAAGGTATATCAAACATGGCATTTTGGTAAAAGTTATATGTATTCAGTAAACATTCTACCATGGGACAGGTAGTTTTTTTTTTATGTCTTTAACTCTTCTTTTCTTTGGTATCATTAATGTACAATTACTTGAACAACATTATGGTTCTACACTCCCCCTATTATCAAGTCCTCACATACCCCATTACAGTCACCGTCCATCAGTGTACTAAGATGCTATAGAATCATTACTTGTCTTCTCTGTATATACTGTGGGGCAGGTATTTTTTTGGATGAAAAGTTTATAATGTATCATTCCCTTCATGACTTCTTTAAAAAAGATGGAGCCTATACCAACAGCATTCTTCAACGAACTGAAACAAATAGTTCAAAAATTCCTATGGAATCACCAAAGATCCCAAATAGTCAAACCAATCCTGAGAAGGAAGAATAAAGTGGGGGATGGACACTGGGTTAGGTTCAATTTTGCACATTTTACCTCATTTCCGAAGGGAAAAACTGACACTCTGAGAAAAACTGAGTAGTTGGTAATGGACGGATACGGGGCTTGCACCAACTCAGAGCCTCGGTCCCTCCACTCTCCGCCGCAGCGGCCCCTGTCCCCGGGTCCCTCCGACATCCCGCCCCGCGGCGCGCCGCCGCCGCAGCTAAGAGCAGCCCCGGGCCGTGCGCGCCCAGCACTCACCCTCAGCGCTGTCGCGGGTCCGGTGGAAGTCGTCGGAGCGGCCATCGCGGAAGGCCCGGCAAAGAGAAAGGCAGAGGAAGTCCAGCATCCAGCCGGTGGCCACTGCCTCGGCCTCGGTCACCAGGTCCGCATCCTCCTCTTCCTCGGGAGGCCCCACCTGCACCTGGCACTCGAGCAGCTGCTGGCACTCAAACTGCTCCTGATTCTCTCTCGCCATTTCCGCCGTGCACTTCTCCGGAGGCTCGGCATCCTGCTCGTCTGCCCGCCCTCGCGAGCTTGGAGACCCTGAGGGAGAGACCTCCGCCATGTTTAACTGCTTGCGGACGTCTGTGCTACTAGACGCCGAGCGACGAATGGCTCACCCTGAGGGGGCGGGGCCCCACTAAAGTGCTCTTCCGTCAGCGGGAAACGACCAATCACACCGCCACGATGGGCCAGCGGCTAGAGCGTGGCTTGTGATTGGCGGAAACCTGCTCCCGCTTCTGGACGTTGAATTCCCCGCCACAGGAGCGCCCGGTTTTGTTTCCGAACTGGGCAACTCCAGTCTGAGCAGGGACAGAAATTAAGAGGTGAGGAGGCTGTTTAATTCTCTTGCTCACATGAAACATTGATTAGAACAATGACACGGTTAGGTAAAATATAGAAAAGACTACCCCAGGCTTACTTCAAAAAAATTTAGGGAATAGAATCTGTCAGCATTATTCAAGCCTTAATACTTTGGACCCTAGCATTCACCTAACACACTTACTACACGACGATAAACCACAGCTGTCCCAGTGAACTTAGATCCGTGCCCCTCCAGCCGTAACGACAGCCGGCTAGTTAAAACAACGTTCTGGTCTCCACCCCCAGACCTTTTTGCTCTGTAGGTCTGGATTCTTGAGTTTGCTAGTCTAACAAGTTTCTAGGTGATGCTGAGGCTGCTTCTTTGGGGACCACATATGGAGAATCACTGATGCAGAAAATATCAATTAATTATAATTGACAATGATAATTAACTGTGGAAATTAACTTCAATCAGTCTGAAAGAGACTGTAGAATGCAGCCTGTATAATAATAAGTGAATGCATATTTTGAACTTTGAAACTTATTTTAGAGCACAAAAGGGGATTGTGGGCAAGGGGTCGGGGTGGGGGGGCCTGCTTATGTTCTGTTTCTCTATGTGGGTGATAGTTACATCAGTGTATTCACTTTATGAAAATTCATTGAATATGATTTATATACTTTTCAATAAGTGATAATTGAATAATTATAACTGAATGAAAATTTACTTTAAAAACCTTCTGCTTATAACATCCAACATTATAAAAGCCTTTATGTGTTTTAATTTTCCACAGAATGACTGCCTTAAGGCAGTGGTTTAAATGTTGCATCATTAAAGCACTGTATTAGAGCCATTAAGAATGTTTAGGTTGGAATTTCCCCTACCAGTTACCTGATAGCTGTGTGACCTTGGATAAATTATGCCTTTTTCTACTTAATGGGCATAATAATAATAATAGCCTCATCATAGATGTGTAGAAAGATTAAGGGCTTGGTAAATGTAAAGAGTTTAGAAATGGAAGGCCGTTATATAGTAAGTGCTCAACTAATATTAGTTGGAAAAGCATGACATTCATGCTACCTGAAAGAGGATGATGAGTCAGAAGGGATTGCTTCTTCGGTTCTAATGGCCCCATGAAAAGTAAGTACTAATTGCAAATAATACAGGGAAATAGGACTCTAGGAAATAGGGGCTAAGGTACATTTTGAACATAGAAAACACACCTCAGGTTTCCAAACTGAAACTTTTTTTGTTTTTCAAGGCTCTCACATAGGATCTGCTTCTTCTTCCCTTTCTCCAGCCCTCTTTCTCCCCTTTCCAGCAGAGAGTTAAGGTTATTCTTAGGTATATCAGCTAATATATTCTAAGCCACAAACTAAACAGCATGTTTTTGTGTGACATCTACTTCCTCAAGAAACATTCCTTGAATTTAAAGCAATGAGGTAGAATGAAGTATGTATATTTTTTATTAGGATTTAATCATAATCACCAATGAAGTTTTAGTCTGGGGCTGCTTCCAGCTACATAGTGTACTCCCTATCCTTCCCTTATTGGTATTACATTGAAGAAAAATTAAGAAGAACTGACCTAAGAGGGTGTGTCAAAAAGTGATTTTAAAATCCTATCCCAAGGAAAAGTCAAGAATATAGTGTTACTTGATTGGGGGCCTGAAACAGGCCTGGAAGAGGAGTTCTCTCATAAAGGAAAAAAGTTAATTTTTAGACCTGCCCGTTAGCATGGATAGTAGATTTATTGTTCTGAAATAATACTCTGACATCAATATGATCTGAGAACTCAAATATGATAAATGTATAACTACAATAAAACTTCTCATACTTAAAGTCCCAATAACACTTTAGCCATATATATTTTAACTTAATGATATAAAAGGTATATCAAACATGGCATTTTGGTAAAAGTTATATGTTTTCAGTAAACATTCTACCATGGGACAGGTAGTTTTTTTTTTATGTCTTTAACTCTTTTTTTCTTTGGTATCATTAATGTACAATTACTTGAACAACATTATGGTTCTACACTCCCCCTATTATCAAGTCCTCACATACCCCATTACAGTCACTGTCCATCAGTGTACTAAGATGCTATAGAATCATTACTTGTCTTCTCTGTATATACTGTGGGGCAGGTATTTTTTTGGATGAAAAGTTTATAATGTATCATTCCCTTCATGACTTCTTTAAAAAAGATGGAGCCTATACCAACAGCATTCTTCAACGAACTGAAACAAATAGTTCAAAAATTCCTATGGAATCACCAAAGATCCCAAATAGTCAAACCAATCCTGAGAAGGAAGAATAAAGTGGGGGGAATCTTGCTCCCCAACTTCAAGCTCTACTACAAAGCCACAGTAATCAAGACAATTTGGTACTGGCACAAGAACAGAGACACAGACAAGAGGAACAGAATAGAGACTCCGAACATTAACCCAAACATATATGGTCAATTAATACATGATAAAGGAGCCATGGACATACAATAGAGAAATGACAGCCTCTTCAACTGTTGGTGTTGGCAAAACTGGACAGCTACATGCAAGAGAATGAAACTGGATCACTGTCTAACCCCATATACAAAAGTAAATTCAAAATGGATCAAACAACTGAATGTAAGTCATGAAACCATACAACTCTTAGAAAAAAACATAGGCAAAAATCTCTTGGACAGAGGAGCCAAGATGGCGGCATGAGTAGAACAACACAAATCTCCTCCCAAAAACATATATATTTTTTAAAATACAACAAATACAACTATTCCTAAAAGAGAGCCCAGAGGATACAGGACAACAGCCAGGCTACATCTACACCTGTGAGAACCCAGCACCTCGCTAAGGGGGTAACATACAAGCCACAGCCTGGCGGGACCCAATTGCCCCTCCCCCCAGCTCTCGGTGGGAGGAGAGGAGTTGGAGCAGGGAGGGAGAGGGAGCCCAGGACTGCTAAATAACCAGTCCTAGCCTTCTGCACCAGAGCGCAGACACACAGTGTGTGGGGTGCTGGATACTAAGGAAACGGTGCAGTAAAATCTGCGAGCGAGTCCCGGCAGCTGGCGCTCCTGGGACAAAGAAATGTGAGTGCTTTTTGAGAGTCTAAAAGGGACAGGGACCCCACAGCTGGATGAAGGCTTCCCGGCAAAATCAGCTCAGCAGCTGGGAATCCAGGGAACTCCGGGTGCCCTAACCCCCTGGGCATTAGTGTGGCTACGAGGCCCCTCACGGCGATAAACAGCCTCCCTCCAGTTCCCACTCCAGCATGCCCTGCCATAGCAACCATGCCCGGAGCTTCTCTCACAGCACCCAGGCAAGAATCAGAAACCCCGTCTGGGTGCAACTGCCCAACACAATCGCTACAGGTTGCCATTCTCCCAGGAGAGGAAGGCTATAAACTAGCAAGAAGGGACGTTCTCCTAGCTGACATGTGGCAACTACCCACAACTATCTTTATCGCCATGAAAAGGCAGAATAATTTGATATAGACCAGATTAACCTAGGCACTCTCCCCTGAAAAGGAACCTGGGAAGATAGACCTAACCAATCTTCCTGAAAAAGAATTCAAAATTAAAGTCATAACTATGCTGATGGACTTGCAAAGAAATATGCAAGAGCTAAGGAGGGAGAATACAGAAATAAAACAAACTCTGGAAGGATTTAAAAGCAGAATGGATGAGATGCAAGAGGCCATTGATGGATTAGAAACCAGAGAACAGGAACACATAGAAACTGACACAGAGAGAGATAAAAGGATCTCCAGGAATGAAACAATATTAAGAGAACTGTGTGACCAATCCAAAAGGAACAATATCCACATTACAGGGGTAACAGAAGAAGAAGAGAGAAAAAAAGGGATACAAAGTGTATTTGAAGAAATAATTGCTGAAAACTTCCCCAAAGTGGGGGAGGAAATAGTCGCTCAGACCACAGAAGTACACAGAACTCCCAACAGAAGGGACCCAAGGAGGACAACACCAAGACACATAATAATTAAAATGGCAAAGCTCAAGGACAAGGACAGAGTTTTAAAGCCAGCTAGAGAGAGGAAAAAGGTCACCTACAAAGGAAAACCCATCAGGCTATCATCAGACTTCTCAACAGAAACCTTACAGGCCAGAAGAGAATGGCATGATATATTTAATGCAATGAAACAGAAGGGCCTTGAACCAAGGATACTGTATCCAGCACGACTATCATTTAAATATGATGGTGGGATCAAACAATTCCCAGACAAGCAAAAGCTGAGGGAATTTGCTTCCCACAAACCACCTCTACAGGGCATCCTACAGGGACTGCTCTAGATGGGAGCACCCCTAAAAAGAGCACAGAACAAAACACACAACATATGAAGAATGGAGGAGGAGGAATAAGAAGGGAGAGAAGAAAAGACTCTCCAGACAGTGTATATAACAGCTCAATAAGCGAGCTAAGTTAGGCAGTAAGATACTAAAGAAGCTAACCTTGAACCTTTGGTAACCACGAATCTAAAGCCTGCAATGGCAATAAGTACATATCTTTCAATAGTCACCCTAAATGTAAATGGACTTAATGCACCAATCAAAAGACATAGAGTAATAGAATGGATAAAAAAGCAAGACCCATCTATATGCTGCTTACAAGAAACTCACCTTAAACCCAAAGATAAGCATAGACTAAAAGTCAAGGGATGGAAAAACATATTTCAGGCAAACAACAGTGAGAAGAAAGCAGGGGTTGCAGTACTAATATCAGACAAAATAGACTTCAAAACAAAGAAAGTAACAAGAGATAAAGAAGGCCACTACATAATGATAAA